CAAAAAGGCTAGACTTAAACTTATAATGAGGCCTATTTATATAAATAGATTGAACTTGTTTAACCAAAACTTAAAAAGTACTCAACAATGTCATGAGTAGAATTACCTCTAATAAGAGAAGACCTATGATAAACAAGAAAAAAAATTTGACCTGACCTAACTTACTATTTAAAAACAAATTATTTACATGAAATTTTAAAAGCCGTGTGATGCTATCATTTCAACTATGTTGAGGGATCATGAGAAATAAGGATGCTAAGAGGATCTAGATCCATATAGTCAAGGTGATAATGAGAACATTTATGAGATATTGTTAAGATGTTTAAATGTGAGTAGATCATACTAATATTGGGAAGTCTTATATCATATATAATTGAGCTTAATAATTAATATATAATTAAATAGAATGACTCATAAGCTCAAGCTTTATGACTCTGAGTCTAAATGTGACATCCTTCCCTTTTCATTACTCTTTTACCATCCTCTGTGTCCGGACTTGTCACTCCGTACCCGTTCTTAGTAGAAATTTGATTTTTACTTGTTCAATAGATTGATATTTGATTGTGGATGGGGATGTATGGATTAATTGATTGATTAATTAACTAGTTACTAATTGATAATGAGAATTGGGTTCCAACTTGTAGTAGGGGCATCTCGAGTCTTAGAAAACTAAATATTAAGTTAAAATTAAAGTATGCATCTATTGAGGTTAGTGAGTACCTTGGATTTCTAAATGTTGCATATAAATAGAATGAATAAGCGAATATTGGGGTGCTATTAAATATTAAAAGGAATTGAAAAACAGATGATTAATTTTTTAATTAATAATGCGGTGACCGAATGGAACAAACTGATTTAAATGTAATGTGTGTGTGAAATTAATAAGTCATAGAAGAAGAATAACAGACTTGAAAAAGTCATATGAAAAACTAATTACAACATATACACAAAAATAGACTGTTATAATAATGATTAACGAATGCAAAATATTTCTGAAATCTCAACAAATAATATACCATAATAATATGTAATAAATCTCAATAAATAATATATTTTAACAATATATATAGAAATATATAAATTAGGGTGCGGTAGAAGGAAAAAAAGTTAGAAAAAAGAGACGGGATAAGAGAATTAATATAAATAAATATAGGAATTTACAACCCAGAACGAAAGGGTGTGTATGGAGGTGGACGTTGGCACAGTCAGAGTTTGAAATTGAATATTGAAGTTGGGGGACCAAAGATAAGAAGAGAAAACAGTGAGAATGAGGTGCGAGTCCATTTAACGTATGCATCGTCAATTCCTCTCACAGTCGCAACAATGGACCATCCTCTCTTGGGAATCAGTAATTAATTCCCCTTTTGAATTTGTATACTCCTGTGAATTGCTAGTTCCTATGCATGCATCTATAATTCGTTTATTTTGTTCGAATCCATGTGTGCTTTCTAATTCCGATAATCACATTCATAATAGAATTAATTATAAGGTTCGTTTTCATGAACAGAGTGTGTGAATCTAGGATCTAGCTAGCAGTCCATGTTCAACTCTTCATTCCACACGCCTATCCTCCTCACCATATTCCCTGGACTTCGTGCTTTCATTTCACTCCAAATTCATGCCTTTGACCCTCCTATCTCACATGCAAACTGACTATTTCAAATACAAGTGTGCATGACTGTGGACCAAGTTGAGTATTACTTCCTCGGTTCCTTCTTTATAAGACATTTTTGAAAATAATTTGGAGTCCTCCAAAATATTTCTTCCAGTTTTTATATATTATAAGTTACTTTTAACTACTTTACTAAAATCAAGGAATGACAATTAATTAACTCATTAAATATACTTTAAAATAAAATTTTTTATAACTTTATGTCTATCAAAAGCAAGAAAAAAGAGGCACATACAATATACAACGAGTCATAAAATAAAATTTACAATAAGGATAAAATTAGAAAACATTACTAAATAAGCACCCATGTGTCTTGTGTCAAGGACCAAATAATGCTTTTAAAAGGTGTCATGTGGAGGAACTATGGGATGTTTTTTTTTTTTTAAAAAAAGGTATCATTAGTACAATGTTAATTATTCCACTATTTCATTCCCTAGCTTAAATAATTTTTCCCCCTCTCTCTATTAACGAAGGGTATTTTTAAAAATTTATAAAAAAAAAAGATTACAAAATATGTTTAATAAACTTCATTAATGTGTGTAATTTTGCCAAAAAATTGCCAAATAAATTCGGATGGAGGGGGTCTAATATAACAATGATCTGTCCATTAGTATCATTTTTCTTCTAATTATAAATAACTGTAACCAAAATAATCCGCTTTGGGATTGGAGTATCCATGCTTGCATGTATATACGTGAATGAGTATCCAAAAGCATATATGATGATCTCTCTGCACCTATTGAAAGATCAGCCAGCAAGGGCTGTTGTGTGACTCCTCAATCTGATTATTGATGTTTTAAATTAAAAAAAAAATAGAAAAGGAAAGGCTCAGATGTCTGACAGGTTTAGCATTGAAACCGACTACATGGAATTCGAAATCCCCCTGCTGTCATGAGTCATGACTGAACCCAGAACTTCTCAAACTTCTCACCATGGATCTGTGAAATTACGTGCCCAAATTACTTAAATTCTCTATGAACTCATCTCACAAGGAATAAGTACTATCAATCTGTGGGCATACTGTGCGTGCGAGCCTATCTTTCTTCGATTTTGACACTTTAACTTAATGGGAATGTGGAAGAGATCATAGACATTCTCATGGATCTTATGGGGACCCGACACAACTTCATCAAAATGTGTACACCTTTCGGTCTAGCTAGGCGCTTCTGCAACACCAATAACATGACTCGTAATGTGTGTGCATGGGCGGTGAAGGACATAGTTCATTCACGAATTTCGCTGTACATGTCCTCATCCTATTTTTCAATGTTAATTCTGTTCTAGAATTAGACCAACATACCTTCGCAGATATTAGAATTTTTTTTAATAAATCTTTTCAATTTACGTAAATAAGAATTCATGGCTAATGCCTCACCTCTAACATCTATATATATCTCGCTTAAGCCTTATGATCCATATATATATACACACTGCCAATTAATACAACTACAAAGCACATGCATTCAACAAATATATCTTCAACAGCACGCACAAATTATGCATAATCTTCCCCCTCTTTTCTTGTTTTTTAATGCATAAGTTCATTTATAAATTAAAATTGATCCACAAACTTAAAAAATATAATACTCTGTAAATTATAATAATGATATACAAAGTTATATAATTATCATATAATGTATGTCTTCATAATTAATCTTTCATAAATTAACCTCGCGTGGTTTTTTTTTCCTTAGCTTCAGTTATTTTTAAATTTTTATTTCATTGAGATGCTCATTTTTTAATAAAAGTACTTTAATTAATCAACATTTATAGATCCTTTCACTTTTGTAATAATTTATAGAATGAAATATTATATTTATGCATATAAAATGTAATTAATAAATGAAAATATAATGTAAAATGGATAATAAAGAACATGACTAATTCATCAGATTAAACTCTATATAATATATGAAAAACAGATCTAACTTTCCCAAATACCAATGTTATATATAGAATAAACAAAATTGAAATGCTATAATGTATATAAAAAAGGTGTTCCTGTTTCAAAATTTAAATAACATGAAGCTAGCACTCAATCGTGTAGGAAGAAAAGTGCTATATGGCATGATAAAGTAGCTAGGTACCATTTTATATCTAGACGCTTCCAAAATAGGCTTGAGCTTTAATCCATCAATATCAACATGAATACCTACGAGAATCGATTTAGCCCTCAGAGAGTATCACAGTTGACCGAACTCCGTATAACATCTGAAATCGACCATCTGATTGTGAAAGCAATATCATCATACACACACTTTTCTTGAAAACTAACAAGATTTACCAAACTTTGAAAGCTGCAGGTCTCAACAATGTGCCTAAATTTACATTTTTATTCTACATAGAAGTCCTTTTTTTTTAAAAAAATTGATAGTCTTTCATATAAATTACTTTGTATAAAAAATTGACCTGATTTTAGACTACGAGGCTGAACCTTGGCTACACTCACAATTTCTTTTTTTTTTTTATGAGAAAATTAATTTGATTGATTACGGAGATTTATATGAGAATATTGATCAAGCATAACTAAAAGTCCATGTTGTTTTGTATTAATATATAAACAAAAAAGGTCGCGGCAGCGCGCAACCCACAGGATTATCATCTGATTCGAGAAACGAATCCCCACAAATTTAATTGTATCATTTTCAAATGTTATCACATGCCTTCGTCTCATATCCCCACTACTTATATCATACCAATAAACCCCCCCCTCCCACAACCTTCTATATATTGCTATTTTTTAATGAAAAATCATGATATATATATATATATTTTAAAAATAACTAATGAGTTGATATATTAAAAATAACTTATATTTTAAAAATAACTAATGACTTGATATATTAAGCAATGAGTTGTTAATTCAGATCACCTGTTAAAATTGAGCAAAACTAGAATGTCCCTAGAGAGAATTTGTATAGGGTTTTTTTACATGTAATTAACAATTTTTTTTTGCTTTAATCTCTAATTAATTTCAACAACACTTGCTTCTCTGTTTTTTTTTTTTTTCGCCAACGAAAAAAACATTAGCATCTCATTTGTATAGTATTCATCGAGTCAATTTGAGTTCATTATAGAGTCCAATGTTCTTATCATGTAACTTCTGGAGATCAAATGACCTAATAAAATTATTATATACACCATTTTGACAAAAAAAAAAAAACAGTTAGTCATCATACACGGTTTAAAAACATTTATTATTAATAAAATATAATTTTAATAAAAAATGCAAAATATATTAATTAAATGACTGTCAAGGTTTTTCCCCCCCTCTTATATACCCCTGCCTCCTCACAACTCTTCACTTCAAACACAAACCATCACACTTGACAGCAGATTTCATTGCATTGTTGCACGACAAAATGCACAACATTTGCCTCAACATGCCTCCGATGGTCGAGAGCTTCGACCCGGAGGTGCTATTCACGCGCCGTTGCATATGGGTGAACGGAGCCGTCATAGTGGGGGCGGGTCCGTCTGGTCTGGCTGCGGCGTCCGGTCTGAAAGAGCAAGGCATCCCCTTCATCATCCTCGAAAGAGCCAACTGCATCGCATCGCTGTGGCAGAACCGTACCTACGACCGCCTCAAGCTTCACCTTCCCAAACAGTTCTGCCAGCTTCCCAATTTCCCTTTCCCAGATAACTTCCCCGAATACCCTTCCAAATTCCAGTTCATCACGTATCTTGAATCCTACGCTAAGCACTTCGGAATCAATCCCCAGTTCAACGAAACTGTTCAATCTGCCAAGTACGACGACACGTTCGGGTTCTGGAGGGTCAAGACCATCCGCAAGGAGGCTAGCGAGGTGGAGTACATTTGCAGGTGGCTCGTGGTCGCTACAGGGGAGAATGCAGAGAAAGTTGTTCCCGAGTTCGAAGGCTTGGAGGATTTTGGAGGCCGAGTCATGCATGCTTGTGATTATAAATCCGGAGAGAGTCATGCCGGCCAGAAAGTGTTGGTTGTTGGGTGTGGAAATTCCGGCATGGAAGTCTCTCTCGATCTCTGTAACCACCATGCCAGCCCCTCAATGGTGGTTCGAAGCTCGGTGAGTCCTGAAATTTCCCCGTAAACATGTGTTAAGTTCTGACAATGAAGTTTGCATTTTTACTTAATCTTGTTAACTTTGTTCTGTTGTGATGGTCAGGTTCACGTGCTGCCCAGGGAAGTATTTGGAAAATCGACTTTCGAACTGGCTGTGGCGCTGATGAAGAAGCTACCTCTGTGCATGGTGGACAAGATACTGCTGATTCTGGCTCGCGTGATTCTGGGGGACTTGGAGAAGTACGGACTGAAGAGGCCGGAAATGGGGCCTCTGGAGCTGAAGAACAGTGCGGGGAAGACGCCGGTGCTGGACATTGGAGCGCTGAAGAAGATTAGATCTGGCGAGATAAAGGTGGTTCCTGGAATCAGGAGATTCTGGAGAGGCAAAGTCGAACTGGTTGATGGCCAAATTCTTCAGCTTGATTCTGTTGTTCTTGCTACTGGGTACCGCAGTAATGTACCCTCATGGCTAAAGGTGAGAATAACTCTATCGCTCTTGTTCTTAGATTGCTTGCCGAATCTACATATAGTTTACGTCTTCAAAAAACTAAGGTCAAATAGTTCGGGGGAAAACTACATCTCGTGGCCCAGATGTTAAAGGTATTTGGATCAAAAGAACGAAATTATTATTAAATTTGCATCAAGTTCCATGAGAAGGCCAAGTTACGTTGTGAAAAAATTTACTCTAAAATTACTGAGATTAGAGTACATAATTAGTAAACATAATTGATCATGCAAGAATGAAGGAAGATGTATATATCAATATAAGATTGATACTAATGGTGAATATAATATATACAGGAGAATGAGTTTTTCTCAGAGGATGGGATACCGAAGAATCCATTCCCGAACGGATGGAAAGGAAAGTGGGGATTGTATGCGGTAGGGTTCACAAGAAGAGGGCTATCAGGTGCATCGCTGGACGCTGTGAGTGTGTCGCATGACATTGCCAGGTGTTGGAAAGAGGACTTTAAGCAACGCAAGAAATCAGTGGCTACTCGTCACAGAAGATGCATCTCCCACTTCTAATTCATCGATCAACTCTGACGTTGAAGGTCCTTAATTCCCAAATGTGAATGATAGCAGATCATAATAATAATAATAATAATAATAATAATAATAATAATAATAATAATAATAATAATAATAATAATGTAGGCGTGGAGAGCTCTACCCCACATATTGTTAATTAATTAGGTAATTATTGATTAATTCGCTCCCACAAAAGGAATTAAAGCAGCCCTCTCCTGAATTAAACAAACAACAACCACTCCTCCTAATGATCTCAAGGAAGATGAGGCTTGTTCATGTCATTCCCTTGTTGCTTTTGCCTTTCATTTATTCCTCCTTCCTCGCTTGTATGCTCTATATATGTATTTGACCCCCTTGAAAAATATTGTATCACACTTTTTTTTTTTACTCGTTTTAATAATTAATTCAACCCCCCCCCCTCAATTTATGTCTGTGGTGTCAAGACACTCATCAAGTTAAAAAAAATAAAAAGGTAAAGGTACATTTTTATCTTTGAAATATTTTTTGAAGAGTATCTAATATCCTAAAGATAAAAATACTCTATTTTAATAACTTTAAGGATATAATTATTTCAATAAAAATATTAAAGTATTAGGTGTTTTTCAAAAAATACTTCAAGAACAAAGATATACTTTTACCCAAAGTAAAAATATGACTCACATGAGAAGAAAAGAAGAATAGTAAAAAACTTTCAAAAAATCACACCAACCCAGTCTCAATTTATAAAATATTTTTAAATAAAATTAAGTATATTAAATTCATTAAATATACTTTATAATCTTGTTTGTTCAAAAAATATAAACTTTTAAAAAATATCTTTTATTTAATGCTTCATTTACAATCATGTTAAGGAGAGAATATAATGAAAAGAATAATATAAAAAAGTATTATTAATAAAATTTTATTTTTAAAGTATTTTATATTTTAAAATATTAAATTTTTTTTAAAGTATCTTATAAATTATGATAAAATGAGCATATATATATATATATATATATTTTAAAGTATCCTCTCATTACTTTCCTCTCATTCTCAATTGTAAGCTCTTTTTTCCCGTAGAATCTAATATTTGTTAAGAGAACGCCTTGATCGCAACACTTGATTCACGATTTCAAAACTATTCCTTCTTTAACTTCTCTTTATATCCCATACTGTTCCTTTTATTTACTAGTCAATTTCAGATAAAATGGGTGAGAGATAAATAATGGCCGTTATACGAGAATTGATAAATGAGGCGACAAAAAGTCTTTCATTCTTTGGGCCAAAAGTCAAACTAATAAACTTTAGAAGCTAAATTAGTTTAAAAAGATCACTGTTTTGTCAACGCAGAGAATCTCTACGGTGGGATGCACGAAGCAATTTTGCCGTCATGGGCTTCTATCCCTAATCAGAGCCCACTAAGCATGGAGAAATTTAAATTGGGACAATTATATTAAAATTCTATAAAAAAAAAAATTTAATTACTGTAAGATCTATTAATAATTAAATTAAATTATATTAATAATAAAATTAGTTATTAATATATTTTAATTTAATTATTAATAAATTTTACAGTAATTAATTTCTTTGTATGAAATTTAATTGTAATTCTTTCATTTAAATTTGATATTAATAGTTCTGGTTTTAAAAATATATACCATGCCATATTACCATCTCCAATCATAACTCAGAGAGAATCTTCGGAGGGTTTTTATTTAAAAAATACAATAATATTAATTAATTTTTTTAATTAGGGAAAATACTTGTTCTTGAAAGAGATTTGCACTTATGTATGCAGTTGTGTGATCACTCAATTGGATTCAAACTAATATAAATTTAAAAAATTGCTTGGCGTGCGCAGGTATATAAAAGGAACACGGAACCTTTTCTTTTTCTTATTATCATTTCTCTTTCATTTTTCTAATTATAACTATTCATCAAATCTAGAACTAAAATAGATTCATTTAATCTAACGATATCAATAATTATAATTAGAAAAATCATAAGGAAATGAAGAAGTTTCGGGTCCATATATATATATTTTTTTTTGAAAAAAAGGAAGGGAAGTTGCAATTTGTAAAACTGGTGCGCCCATGTTGCATAGCACATGGATAGATGCCCACAACAGCTTTGACGTACAACAATAGAACAAGGACAAGAAGGAAGTGTCCTCTCATGACACTCCCATCAATTATTTGAATTATATTGAAAATCCTATCTTTTCCAACAAATAAGATAATATTAAAGGAGACCATATAATTCATGAACAATATGTGCTTCCATATTTGTAATAGCATCAACACTAGAGGGCATAGTAGACAAATTAAATAGAGCAGGAGTTAGTTAAAATTGGATACCATTATTAATTGTCTCAAAATTCTCGACTACCATGTGTAGAATTTGTTTCCATAGTTTCTCTTCTTTTTGATTAAGAGTTGCCTCTTGAGTCTCAACAATGCTTATACCTAGGGTTGGAGCAAAAGCTTCAAGATGACTCGACTGGACTTCTTTAATTTCTATGTCATCACATGCTTCAATCTCAAAATCCGCAATGATATACTTTATAGCACCACTGATATAGGTACATGGTTTTGATTACACATATTATCTCTTTTAGAAGTTAAAATATTAGGGTCTTTATATTTTAAGATACTATCAAGAGGATTAGGAGGTATTTTCTTTTGATATAACTTCTCTTTCTTAACTTGATAGCAATGCCCTTCTTTTAATGTGTATCGAATGGATCTTTAGAGTTCATTAATTTTATTTCTCACAAGTTCAATATGTGAACATATGAAATTCAAGTCTAATTAATTAACCAAATTGTATTGATAGTGACATTGATGATGATTGGCATAATAGTCAACATAATCATATTGACAATGATAATTATATTGATGATGGTCAATGTAATCATATTGACAATTAAATGAGGCCATAACATCTTGATTGAATGTGATTTTTTTTGTGTGATTATAAGCAATGGAAGGTGAGATTTTTTTTTTTAATATCATATTTGAAAAAAGGTTCTCAAGTTGCCCTCACCTAAAAGGTGAAGACCCTATTCAATAAGTCTGACCCTCTGAGAATTCAAAAGTTCCTTAGGAATCAAACATGTTAAATAAATAACAACCTGAGTGAAGTCTTCATAGTGACTTCTGGGGATTTGGAAACCCTTTAGAAAAATCGATAAAAACTTTAACTAACCTAAAGTAGATAACTGTTTATAAGATAAATTTTTTTAAGGGTTAAATCAAAGGAAAAATTGAATAAGTGAATGAAGAAAAGCAAAAAAAAAATAGAATAAATAAAGGAAAGAAACAAAATAATATCAAAAAGAAGGAAATATGGTAGAATGGCTTAAAGTGAAGAAAAGTGAAAACAAATAATAATAATAGGAAAAAGGAATAAGGAAAGGAGATAAATAGCAAGGGACCTAAAATTTAGGATTGATGAACCTTACCAAGTAACTTAAGAAGTCTTAAATTATAAATTTATCTCCTAAAGCGTTTTTGTATGATGATTCTTGGTATTGAGAAGGTATTTTAAAATGAATTTGATAATAGAAGCTATGTGAGAACCTTGGCTCTAATGCCAATTGATATAAAATAGGGAAGGAGAAGGGGGAGAGAATATATAAAAGGAAAAAAATGATCAATAGGGAGAATAGAAACAAGAAAAAATTCAGAAAAGATGCAAGATAACAATAATTTTTATTCAATTAAATATGTGTCTACAAAACAAAGAAGCTAAGACGCTGTTTGTAGGCCTCAACTTTAACCCTAGAATTAAATGTGAGAAATTCTAAAAATCTTAGAACTGAATGAAAATATAACAATAAATATTTAAAGATAACAATAATTCAAATATTATGACAATTGAAACAAAATATTCTGAATTAATAAAATATATTTGATCTTTCAATCTCCTCAAATCTTCAATATCTTTAATTATTTTTTTTTCTTTTTCTTCCCATCAATCAGTTACTTGATGCAAGGTGAAGTTTTAGTTTATATGGTAAAGAATTTCACTTCATGTACGTGTATAGAAGATAGATCCTCTTCTCAAGAGCTTTTTAAAGCTTGGCTTGGACGGAAGAAAAAGTTAAAAAACTAGGCATAAAAGAAAATTGAAAGGAATTTTTTTTTAAATATAATATTAAAGTTCATTGAACAAAAGATAGAAAAATTTCCTTAAAATATGCAAAAGACAATGAGGACCTTGAAATGCCATAATTCTCTTAAGTTTTTAAGGACCTTCATGATATGAATGATTTTTAGTGAAATGACTAAACTAGTCAATAGTTCTAACCCCCAAAAAAGTAATTATCAATGATTACTTTAATTTAAGTAATAATTATTTTTTTAACAATGACTAAAATAGAATAAAAAATTGCAACTTTTGCTATGCAATATTTTTTAACCATTACATGTTTGGTTTTAATAATTACTATAAGAAAAGTGGTCATTGCTTGATCTAAAGCAGTTATTGATATTTGTAACACTTAAATTTTAATAAATAAAAAATTTACATAATAAAAGTTGTAATCACTTATTTTGTTTTAATCATTATTTAAATTAAAATAGTCATTTATATTTACAACATTTGGATGTTGGTGTATCAAAAATTGACATTGAAAAAGTTGTAATTACTTATTTCATTTTAGTCATTGTCGAAAAAAGCTAGTCATTACTTAAATTAAAGTCGTAACTGATATTTATCTTTTTTGGGTAGTTATTTTTTTATTTTAAATTAAGAGAATTTTAGTCATTTCACTAAAAATATTAATCTCAGAAAGGTTTAAAGGGAGTTGAGAAGAATTACAATATTTCACAAGATCTTATTATCATTTTCATATTTTAAAGAAATTTTTTTTATCATTTTTCTAATTTTTTTACTATTTTTAAGAGTTTTTGCTTGTAATTTTTCTTATTTCCGATTGTTTTCTCCACCAAAATGAAGAAAGTTTTGAGTTTCTTAGTTCCCCTTTCACCCTCCTCAAGGGCTGATGATCTTTTGTTGACTTGTTGTAATGTTATCATTTAATGCATGGCTTGATATCATTTCGTGAAAGAATTTATATTGTGTTTATTTTGAATCAGCTAACACCTTTCTAGTTTCTACGATCCATGTCACCAAAACAATTTCTATTATCTCGCTGCTGCATACAACACGTGCACCAAACAAATCCCCATCGACAAAATCTCTATGAAAATATGACGAGAAAAACACGTGTATTTTTCTTGCCTCTCGGCTGTTGTTAGATAATAATAGAATTATTATTATTATTATTATTTTGAAAACCTACTCTCAGTTGTTCCCAAAGCATATACTCCCTTTGATTCTATTTATAAGTCACTTTCAATATATTTCATCAAAATTAAAAAAATTTTAAATTTTATTAATTTTATCTTAAAATTTGATAAGTTTTCACATTTATCTCTAATAAATATTCTTAAATTTATTATTAACATTTTTATTCAAAGCATTTAATAAGGGTAAAAATGTAAAGAGGAGCATTAAAAATTAACAAGTGTTTTATAAATAGAATTAAATTTGTTCTTCTTCTCTTTACCTATAAATAGAATCAGAGAAATATGTACTGTGCAATGTTATAGTATTTCATTTGATTAAATTCAACCAGAAAATTTCAATGCAACTCGTGCTGAAATCGGAGCCTACAGTTTTCCTCCCCTTCCAAAATTTAGCTTCAATTCCTCATTTCTTTTAAAACTTTATTGTTATTTCTTTTGTTTTGATAACTGAGATCATCATAGGCTGTTGCTATTTCTTTTGTAAAAATATAAATAAATATGCAATACACATCTCACCAAATAAACACACACACACACATATATGCGCGCGCATATTTTTGACTTTTTGTTTCTTCTTTTCGGTCGCAGACTCGCAGTGACGATAAAAAAGGTTGCGTGCCCTTCTTGTACGTTTCAATTTGGTTTCGCCGCCATTAATTATAATTATGCTCTTTTTTGGCCTTGATTAGTCAGTTGACCATTGGAATATAAACCAGGGAATTAAAATTAAGTATATGTAAATACTCATTACACTCAAGCCTTTCTGTAAAATTATATGTATAAATAGACTTTTTCAAAGTCTTTTTATAGTCGATTTCTCAAAGTTAAAACCAAATCTTTTTAAACTAAGCAAAATCTTGCATAGAGAATGTGACTGTCCCTGTAGTAAACCAGCTGTCTAATTGTCACATATATTAAATTTATCACTTTTGTTCTAATAATTCTTTTTATGACTTATGATATTTGTGTCGTGAGTGCCCTGTAAATCTGAGTGGAAAATAGGCATGGCATCCGGTGTATACACACACATATTCTTATTTTCAACATATTTAATTAAAACAAAAAAAATCTTACAATTTTTTAGCTTTGTTTAAATATAAATATTTTAGTAATATATTTTTTGCTTCAATATTCAAGAAAACATAAAAGAGACAATTTGTGATGAGAATTTAATAATGTGACTTATAATTAAAAAAAATCTTTCTCTACCCTATTTAATAAGACTATAGAGTATATACACAGTGAATTGTACAATCATTTGAATTTCACAAAATAAAAAATGTTGTCTAAATAATTTTAAAAAATGAAACATGTTAGATTTTGGATAGGCCAACTGGATGCCGACGTTTAATAAGCCGACATCTTATCGAACCATCCCCAAAGAAATGAATTGCATCTGTGATTCACTGGCTTGAATATTTGAACAATGCATTATATATTGGGCCAAAAAAACTTAAAATATATATATCAGAATTAGGGGGTGTTATTACTTATTAGCACATAAGAAATTATCAACAAAATTGAATCCATTTAAAAATCCATGCTGAATTGGTGCACTCAACCATCATCTTTTCTTTCTTTCTTTCTTTTAATTTTTTTAATAAAAAGAATATGGCAATCATGCACACACAGAGGACTGGAACCAAAACTAGTATCGAGACAGAACAAGATACAAGCTGAGTAATGGGATGTATCCAGTCCTGTCCAGCATGATTTGAAACTCTGTTTGTGTTATAGGTACAGTGAGCCAGCCACTTAGCATAAAAACTGGCTTTTCTAAAGATATGGTCAAAAATCAGTCTTACCAATTGATTGAACAATCTAAAACACGTCGGAGAAGAAGAAATAAAAGACAACCCATATGAGTCCTCATGCATCAAGTCAGAGATATTAAAATATATAATATAACACCTATGGCCCATCTGAAACAAATTCACCACCACCATTACCACCCACATTGAGCCTGCTATCTCCTGGAAAAAAATAAGTCAGAAAACAGGGGTCGTCCATCTGAATCTGAAGCAACAAAAAGAGCAAAAAGATTTAGTGTGTGAAAAAATTGGCACCTAGATATGGACATTAATGGCAGGCTACAATATGAATTGCACAATTATAGAGTTGTCGATTCACAGAAGAGGGTTCCAAGGTTCTCATGAATCAACATGCAGCAGACATCACAGTTACCAAGAGAGCAAAACACATGGGGCAGCCACCTCCCCTAGCAAGCCCATTCCTTCTTGTTCTCCCTCATCAAGTTCATTCCACCTTCTCCATCTAATTTGTTGTTTACAACTGTTGAGGGATACTGCACAATTTTCTTATTCGCACACAAGACAAATGTTACCAGCACCATAGTTGAGAACTGTAGTTACATCATCTGCCAAATTATGAATCACTCATTTATGTCTGATTACTGACATGAATTGTATTCTGAATCACTGACAGTAGATATATTATTGGATCACAGTGCTTGCATCATATTAGGTCTTCCACTTTGTCTTTTTCATATTTTCTGCTACTTGTGCATTACGTGATGTAAAGTAACATTATTCATATGTTTTCTGGTTTTTGTGCAGATTCAACTTTAACGTATATCATCATGAACATGGCTTTTCCTGCAGCCCATGTCATACTTATGTCCAAGCAACATGCATCATGTTTCAGAACAACATATGAATCGGTTGATTTGACGTTCATTTCAACTACCCAGATTTTCTTGCGTGGTATCTTGGTCAAAAAGAAAACGTCAACAGAATAATGAACAGCAGTTAAGGATAACGCTCTGGCGGTTTGAACAAAGTTTGACTTTTCTAAACAACATGATTAGAGTGCATGTACCGAGTGAAACATGATTCACTCAAGAATATAGTGCAAGTAGTTGATAAGAGAGCATTAACCATTCATGACTAGTTAGCCATTATCGAGTGCTTTTATTTGCACTTGACTATTACAGGTTCTGAGAAATATAAGATTGTGTTGGGCAAGAAAAATATATATTACATGTCTATGTACTCCTCGTGAAAAGGATGCAGAAAAGTATGCTCGCTCATTTTGTTTACGCGATTTCCAATTTGTGATTGGGAGGGAACACATTGAACTAAAACAAGTAACTTCAAAATATTCAGACATGTGATGTCCGAGAATTGACATGTACAGACAGCAATTGCACACCTCGCCAAATTTCAGGTTTTTGATTTATTCACTACACATTTTTTAGTGAATGAATTTGATGGAAACTTTAAGAAGATTCACAATCCAAGCTTGTTCTTGAGGTTACAACTGTAGTAAAATTTCACGGGATGTATAGCGAAAGGCAATAACTTCAACTGAAACAATTAAAAAATTAACCCATGAGATTAGAGAGAGAGAGAGAGAGACCAGAGTCTATAACAGTATAACCAAATCACAATATCATACTCCTGATGTAAGACTTAATCTCATACTTTGTGGCTCCAACAAAATCTCATTAAGACCAGACAGACCTTACCAGAAGAGAAAATCAATTCTCTCGCTCGAGTTTAGACTTCTGTCAATGAGCTCCTAGCTGCTATGTTATCAGTTACAAATGGCTCTTGCGCCTCAACACTGAGGCAGACTTTCTATCAATATGCTCGGATCTTAATATTCATATCTACCAAATTCTAAAGGCTAAGCCTTCGCAAAAATTCCAAATAATTCAGAGCATCGTGCAAATACGTACGTAATGGCCAACCGCAATAATCACTTTCTCCATGGATATGGAACTATCAGACCATCCAAGTATGGCACAATCTTTGATAAGCTTGAAACCTTAACCGGTTGTAGTATCCAAAATATGCACGCTCTAGGCGCCCTTGTATACTGGTTTTTAATCTACAGAGGCAAAAAGTATTGGTTCATGATCATGCAATGTGGCTTCAGAACAAAGCGTAAAAGACTCATTTCATACGTGGAATTAATTCACCTGAACTAATGCTTGTATTATAATCAGCTACGGTCACTTGTTGGAAAGCATCTTGTCGATTTGACCATTTTGGTTGTACAAATCCACGAGTTTCTTAGCATATGCAGGCATGTGCCTATTAGCTCTGCAAGCATTAAATTTCAACCACCATGAGCAGAATACAATTCATCCTAGCAGGCTGGCACATTATCTTAGCATACCTTTCTTTTCCCCAAGCACGATTTACGTGCAAATAGTTGCGGATGGTGTGATAATCAAGTGAATAACGTCCAAATTCAAGACCTTTTGGACCAATCTGAAAAGCAAGTGAGGGTCAAAATATTATTACATTCGTTATACGCTTCAATGGATAAATCATGGGAAAATATTTTACCAGGTTTAGTATAAAAGCTATCAAGTTTCCAATAAATTTTGGGGCTGGCTGAGCAGGACCTTTCCCTGGATAAATAGGAATTTCTAAGCATCAGTACCAACGAAAACGTATCTTTAGGAGCAGAGATATTCCCGGAGAACAAAATTGTAATCATCAGTTTCTGAAAAGAACAATAATTTTTTTTCTGGAAAAAAAAAATCTAATCTTTAGAGCAGAACAATATGAACACAGCATAAGATTATTCTACATGAAGACCCGCCGTGCCACCGAAAAGGGGCATACACACTGACCAAGGGCCACATGCTAAGCACAAAGATTTCAGTAAGCTTACCTAGCTTAGCATTATCATCAGCCTTAACAGTCTCCATAACAAATGGCCGCCGATCTCCCTGAAGCAAAGGGCAAAAACTCAAACCCTTTGATGAAGCAATATTTTATATGGTTAAATGGGATAGAGCTGATAATTTACACCATTAGTGGTTGGCTTAATCTCCAAATACTGCTGAACCAGATTCAACATTTCTCTTCCACGTTCATTCCTGTCATTTCAAGAGCAAAACAAGCAATCACTTCTTACAAAACAGTATCCCACCCAGTGTGTAATTTATTATCATAATACCCATTCATGCCAACTATTAACTTGCTTGGATGAGGGTGGATAGAAGAAAGGGGAGGAAATGAAAGAGCTTTTGGTTGCCTTCATGACATAATTTTAGAAAACGGGATTCCCTCAGTTCAAATTTTCACTTCCCCCAGTATGGGGCTTTCTCTTTAAAAGTTACCTGCATACGCTCACTTCCTTCCTTCCCCTCTCCTTTCCTTTCTTTAAAGTATATAGACCAAAAGATAGTAGAAAGAGATTTTTAACATCTTAACATATCAATAATACATTGGGAAAACCATATATCCAAGCACCTTATAGCATCTTAAGCAACATTACCTGACAGTGACATACTGAGGATGTTGTGTCATGCTGACTCCAGAATATTTGGGCACGCCCATGTATCCAACCACTAAGTCCTGAAATTTATTTATTTATCCTTACTATCTGAATAGATCAAGTATTGACAGGAATTTCAGACAAACACAATATACAGTGTTGCATAGAAAAAGGAGAGGAACTTGCAACTCAGACTTATTAGCAAAGAATGTAAAAACTACTCCACAAGAAAAATGTCAAGAAAGGAAATTCAGTTATTATGGAAGAACAAGACCACTACTATCAAATATCATGAAAACCATGGTTACAAGGCGTTCCCAAAAGAAAAGAAATATATGAATGGTTAAAGCAACACAAAAAGATTAAAACCACTACTATCACACCTTTTGTAAAGTAAAAAAATAAATAAATTTCACATGGATCATGTATTATTTCTTGTAGATAAGGTTTCTTTCTCATTTAATAGTAACATTATATTGCCGTTTCCCACGTACTTATGTACTTACATTAAATTTGGATGATACAAAGGCCATGTCAACATGCAGAAAGAGCATGTTTATAGAAGATATAAGGCATAGGAAAAACATAATCCCATGATGCAAATGAAACTAGTTAAGTCTAAATCCAACTGGAAAAAAAAGTGAAATACACAGGAACCGTGTGAAGTAGTTGATAGGATGATTGATGTTGAAATCATAAAAGGTGAATTTATTGGCAACTTCATAATGAAACATTTTGAACATGGTAGAGTGCAATGAAATTCCCATTAAAATGAAAGGTTTGTCACGCAAATAAGAACTTACCGCTAAGGCATTTGTATAGTCAAAACAACTGTAACAAACAAGAAAATTCTGAAAAGTCAGAAGAAAATATAATCCAGGGAAAACTACTGTATAATGTAATCCCAGAATGCTGCTACAGCATGCCGGTCAAATTATGAGACTTATCTAAAATCATCATACCACAGACATTTTACCTGTAGCAAGAAGGGGCAATAACATCAACCAGCTCATTTGCTGGTAGACAGAAATAAGGAACCTGTTTTAGTTAAAAATTGAAATTGAATGAAGCAGTTTGCTTGTCAAACTTGAGGACATATTGAAATTAAGGGAAGCCCTCTTACCTCTTCAATATGACCATCCAAGTGCTTTAAGTGAACCTGGTCAGAAAATTGTAAATGTAAAATAACAAAGTAATGCTTGACTTGGTAATACATTAAGACTTGAAGAATTTAACAAGCTTTAAATCTGTAAAGCGTGGAACATTGGGTGGTGAAAGAAGTCAGGAGAGGAAAAAATGAGACCAGAAAGTGTACGTTATTTATATGAAGAGCTTACAATATATAGATGAACCTAATAATAACTGATAAATATCCTAATAATATCTAATGAAGACAAAATTTCCCCTAAATCTAAACAAAATAAATTTCCATAAATAATATACCCTAACACTCCCTCTCAAACTCAAGATACTCTTGAGTTTGTAAAAGCTTGTATTGATTTGAAGAATCTAAACAAAATCTCGAAGTGATTGGGCAAAAAATTCAGGAGTGATTCTTGGAGAATGAATCATTGGATAGAAAACTTGAGAGTGATTCTTAGAGGATGAATCATAAGGCAAGAAACTTGAGAGTAATTCTCAAAGGATGAATCACTGCGTGGGAAACTTGGGAGGTGGGAAATCAGGAGTGATTCTCAGAGAAATGAATCACTGGATGGGAAACTCGGAATGATTCTCATGAATCACCAGGCAGGAAACTACACAAATTAACATAGATATTGAAAATTGGCTTTTAAAGTTTGTATTGCATTTTTAAGCAACTGGCTAAAATAATCCACCTAGTGAGATAAGATAAGGCTTGTTGTTGTTGTTGACAACTAAAATAATCAAATTGGTGTTGCACTACCATATGAAGAACAATAGGGTATGTTACTCACTTGAATAGAAATGAGATGTTTAGCATGAGAATTAGGACATGATCTATGTTACATAAATTGACAAAACAATAGTCCCTAAAAATATCTGTCATATCCCAAGTAGCAGAATGTCCAGAGAATAGTGCTGATTTGCTAGTACATGAAGAGACTTAAAAAAAAAAACTAATAATAACTGAATGAGAATTCAAGCTATTTTCTAAGCTAACTTCTAACCAAGGTCTAAGCTAGTACTCTAGATAACGCAGAAGGTGGTTCTAGAATATAAATTTCACCATCTACATTTCATTGGAGACCAAAAATTGAAGTGGCAGTTATGCTTACACGACTATAGATAATTTGAGTTAAAAAGAACCTTGTAATCTTGCATAAACTCATAATGGAGAACTGTTTCTGGAGTATCACTTGCAGCCTTTAGAAACTTATCCAGTCCTTCCCTAGTTCCATTGTCCACTGTGAAGTAAAAAAATAATATTACTCCAAATTCTTCAAGGATTACCAGTGATTTATGCGCAAAAAGAGTATAATTGCAGTTCATGCATTATGTAACCACTTAAAACTAGAATTGCTTGAAAAATAGCAAAGACTTAGCTGAATACATGATCTGTTGCTTACCACAATTAGTGCCTAAAACATAGAGCTTCTCCAAATTCAGGTATTGCTCAACAGATCTTAATGCTGAAATTGAAGAAATTATTCTGCATTACAATAGTACAAAGTCAATGAAGAAAAGGACTGGAATTAGAAATGCCCAGAACATTATACAAGTGATACCTTGCACTTGGCAGCCTACACCGCAGAAAAGAAGACGCTTGATGCCTGCAGCCTGTCATTGTGAAAATTAAGACAAATATTAAGAATAACAGTTCAACATATCTTGACAGATGGAATTGAACTCATCACACAGATTAATACAATACTCAAAATATCAAGAGCACTATAGAGGCAATCTTTTCAATTCTTGCTCAGCCTAGGAGGTAGAATAAAAGGACATGGATTCCAAACTTGACTTACAGAATACTGGAAAAATATTTTAGGAACGATCATAAAAAATCTCATATTGATCAAGAAATTTACAAAACTTCATCACCCAAATTCTTAATTTTGGACTGGTATAGACAACTGAAAAAAAAAAAAAACCACTTGATTCTAATATTTATATAATGTTTTTCGCAAGATATATTATCAAGGCATTTCAAATTCTCAAACATGATTGTCCTGCAAAGAACAACCATGATCAATCAAAACCTTTCTAATATAAGCATCGGACTTCAAACTTTGCATATAAAATTACAAAACATGAATAAAATTTTATATCCAAGATCTGAGAAGGAATTCCTGTCACCCAGACAGTAACTTCAGCTTCACAAACCTCAACAAGGGCGAGGGTATTTAGGTTAGGAGATAATGTTGGCTTCACACCTTTAGCTGCTAAAACTTCATCAGGTGTCCTGCAAGAAATTTAGGGGGGAAATGGAAGCATGATAGTAATTTAGGAGTTAAAAATATAGTATTGCTATCATCTTAGACTATTCTAATGATGAAATAACTAGATGCAAACCTTGCCAGCACAGGCCTTGGACATAATCTGTCCTCCGGATCACTATAATGTTTAAAATTAAATAACAGTTATTAACAGAGTAAATAAATAAAGTTAACTTCAACACTAAATACGTATACATTTGGTTCCATTTTCTTTCCACTACCTCTGAACACAAATGACAGCTTCAACCATGCCTGATTTAAGCATTTCAATAGCAATGGTAGTTACTATTCCAGTCCACTGAGCTCCTATCAAGTATCAACAGAGAAGCGGTTTTGGTAAGTGAAATTCATCATCTCATGGTTTATTGGCCTTTCAAATTAATTTTCATGATAAAATGTAAGTTTGATGCAGAAAGTTATGATTGTTTTGCTCTCATGACACAGTTTTCTATGATAAATTTATTACTAAGGACCAACATTTTTTTTTTTGGTATAACTATCTGGTAACCAAAACTAGTACTACCAATTCAAATTCAGTCTTCCTACGGCTCAGATAAGAGATAGCACTTTTTGCAAGGTTCATTACATCCAATGATTAACTTGGTATTTTTGCCCAATCATATTTGATACTGTTTTGAACATGAGATAATAAAAATATAAGAAATGCACTGGATTCACAGATCCTCAATGATTGATAGAGGAAAGAATCACAAATGAATACAACTGGCAAAAGAGCAATAACATATTTTACATTTACAAACAGGAAAAATTACCTTCCACAGGCTTAAGTTTTCGAGCATATAACAGTTCCTCATGTACACCAAAGTAGGTCTCCTCCAATGTATCAGCTTTCCTCCCTCTACCGTGAACTATGGGTTCCAGTTTCTGAAAGGAGAAACAATTATTGAGCATCAATACAAAAATAGTTTGCAGTTATGTCCGCTTCAAGTTTTCAAGATTGCAACAGAGAGCAGAGATACAATCAAGCATTGCTTAAACTGGACATGATAACATTTCATGTTCAATATCACAACCTAAGATGAAAAAGAAAAACTATTGTGCATTGAAGTTTCTCAATACAAGGACAGTTCGTCCGAGCTTACTGAAATTATATAAACAGTGGCAATCCATCTTTCAAATTCTCAAATATCCCAATTGATTAATTTGGATAGAAAGCTATAAAAGGTATTTACTAAACACTTCATATCATTAGGTTATAACTTTCATCTTTATTTTTCATTTGCATTTTCCAATGGAGCCTTAAAGGATAAAGGTGGTTGCGCGTTTCTTCAGAATAAGTAGGGAGAATATCATTAAAGGACCCTTGAAAGAATTTAATATTAACAAGGACTTTTACCAAATAAACACTAACAATTAACAAGTGAAGTTTAAGTTTTAAAGTATCCAATCTGTCCAAATCTCTATCTGATATTAAATTATTTCAGAGGTCTTTCGTTGATATTCTCCCAAATAAGTATATTATTAGCAGTATTAAGTTAAATTTTAAAATTATTAGGATTTGAATATCATTAAAGAAGGCAATAGAGGAGACAAACTTACTTCAACTCTAGACATTCCATCTCCCAAGAAAGCACAGGCATTCTTGACATGGGCAATATAATAAGTATCACACAGCCCACATTGACTGTTCCAAAATGAAGAAGAACTAATCAGATGATAAGAATTCAACTTTATGGAGAAAATGCTGACGAACTAGAAAGAAACATTTAAAAGAAAGAGAAAAGAAACCTGCAATGGTCTTTGGCAGGGTAGGTGCCTCCGTGTGGGATGGGCCTAGACCTCTTTCTCCAGTCGTCCCTCAAATTCACCGAATTAGGAGAGCTGGAATTGGGTTCTGCTAACCAAAAAGATAAGAGAGATCAAATGATAGAAAGAAAAAACAAAGAAAGCAAAGATGCAGAGAAATATGGTACCTTTGGAAGATGAAGAAGTGATGGAAAGCGAGAGAGGGAGAGAAGAGAGCTTGCCAATAAAGGAGGACATAACGACGAAGCTACCTCAACACTGAAAGTCTGAAACTGCACGATTTCATTCCACGGACAGCAAATGTCTTCGAGGCTTCGAACCAATATACATATATAAGGCTGGGATTTCTCACCCTACGTGGCAGAATCTCAGTCGTTTTCTTATCTCCACTTCCGCTATTTTTCGACGCCACCTCACGGATGGCGTATCATGGACTCGCATCACATGCTATCATTTTCAATTATTGATTATTGATAATCACATTTGAACTTGTTCATTATTGATAGTAGGTATTTTCTTTGCTACTAATCAATGGAGATTCTTGCAATGCAAGACCAATGGGAGTTTGAGAATTAAGAGGTTGATCATGTAACTATTAAAGATAATATCATACATAACACGTTAAGTAAAGAGATAGTCATATGCCAAGACTTGTAACTTATTATTTTTCTTAAACACAGTCACAATAAAATCGTGCAAAAGAGAGGAAAATTAGACTAGAACAAATCAGCAAAAATGGTATCTCTATAGCCTATACCCTATCAGTATGGTACTAATAAGTCTAACGGTGGTATTCATATGAATATGATCATTCTGGTTAGCTAGAAATTAGCGGATTTAATCGATTTTTGAAAAGCATAACTTAAAGTAATAATTTAGTTCCCCATAAAAAAAAAATTAACATTTGCATGGTGTTTATAAGTGGGTGAGTTAAAAATGATTTATTTTAAATAAAATTAAGAAAAATTACTTAAAAAGACTTTACCAACATATTTATTGCTGAAAAGAACTTGAAACATTAAATCCTTTACTAGCATTAAATGAAAGGAATAAAAGACTAAAATGTCCTTCATATAAAATGTTTGAAGAGTTAAATGATTAAATTATCCTAACCAAATTCTCTCCCTCTCCCTCCCCTCCCACCCCCATCCTGTGTGATTTCTTGTACATCGTTTTGGCTAGACGTAATTTCGACAACGATGGGAACAACGGCAAATAAGGTGAGGTTGATCGCAACTAGCAAATCTCACTCACCTTCTTTTTGACTATTATCTTAGCATCGCATCACTTACTTTAAATTCTTTTGAATCCTAAAATCCTTTCTACACTAGTCATCATCCTTTATTGTCTTCATTGGCCATGGACTCATGGCTTCTATTTTGCAATCTTCTATACCCGATTCATCCTTCTTCATCTTCATATTTTGAGATTTCATCCCTTTTCAAGTCTGTTCAGAAGGAAACGGATTTGTATGTTATTGTGGATGTGTTTGGACCTTTCTTCCTCTCCTCTGTTCCCCTCTTTTTCAGTAATGTCTTATGGTTGTCTCATTCATTTTATTTCATCTAGAGTAAGGTGAAATTTAATTGATGCCTCAATTTTCTTTGGGTGGGGATTGTTACATGCAGTTGACTTGCAGTTTTTGCCTGACCAAGTTCTCAAGCTTTATATGAGTTGCAATATAGATATATAAGCAATTGAATTGCAAGTTTATCTCTCTGAGCTTCTGACCAAATGCAAGAAGCTCATTTGCATTACCACATTAAAGGTATTGATCCTTCAGCGGATGTTGATATGATCTTAGTTTTGTCTTAGATATATTATATGGGTGTGAATGGTTCCCTAATTTGAAGAAGATATTGTGCTGGTGATTGATAACTTTATATATTAATTAGATTTAAGAGATTGTCTGTTTTTATTGAATAACTTGTTCCAAGAACTGTGATCTACCTCAGCAACAATTGTTTTGTTCTAGCATTAATTAGTGAAGGTAATTTGTACTGCCAACTTCAGAACAGGTGCATAGAATTATGTGACTCTTATATACAATATTCATGATAATCATGTATTCTTTGTCGTATTTAACAATATGCATGTGTTTGTGAGCAATGTAATTAATTATGTAGATTCACACTTTTTCTCCCCTTAATTAGTTTGTATTGGGGGTTGATAGAACTTGTAATTACTGCCTAGAAGACTTGTGGGTTGTTGGTTTGTGTGCTATGCACTAAAATACAGAGTTGTTAGTTCGAATAGGCAAAGAGACACAAGAGACGAAAGAACTTCTAATTACTATTGTTCGGTTGACTATTCTAGAAAGGATACTTGTAGCTTTATTGATTGACTCTCATTTGGTGATGCAATTATGTTCTCAAAACTTGTTTTTATATGCCTTAACAATTAGTGAAATGTTTTTCTTAAATCATTATTAATGGTTCCTGATTCTTTTGAATATGATATTGTAGTTGATGCTGGGATGTTTGAAGGATCACTTGAAGTAATTTCTGCATTAAAGGCGATGCATATGATAAGTTGCAACTTTGGTGGAAAATAGAGGAAGGTGACATTTTGAAGAACTAGAAGAAGATTTAGAAGAGATTTCATTGAATTAAAATCTCAAAACTTGTATAGATGATCTTTTGTAAAGATTGTATAAAGGATATTTTTTCCGGGTTTTATCTCCTATGGATGAATCATTTTTCATATAATTATGTATATCATATAGTATCTTGTTGTAATGTAATGATTATGCTATTGAGGAATGTAAGAACATATTGTTGTTTAATGATAACTAAATTTGTCGGTGTTTAGTTATTTTCCTTTATGCTTTAAGCTGGAGTTGGATGCTTTGGTACTAAAAACGCAATTGAAATTGCAAAAAAGGCCTTATTGTACAGCAAGAGAAGCAAGAGATTGGTAACGAATGCACTAAGTGTAAAAATTTCATAATATTCACAAGTGTTTCATGAAAAATGAGAAAAATTTCAGAAAATCTATTTATATTTTCAAAATATCCTTTGATGCTTTCAATGAAAAATGAATTTTTTTAAAAATATGTATATGTAATATCCCTAAAATATAATGTTAGTACAATATCTTATTTCTAAGTTCTAAGACACATTTAAATATAAAGTACGGATATTTTAAAAATTGAGTTGACATAGTTCATGTGTCATCTTTAACCTTCATTTTATTTGAATATTATAAACAGATATCCTGAAAATTGAGGTTATAGAGATTGTGTTTCACTTTTAACTCTCAATTTATTTGAATATGAGATTGCATATCCTAAAAGTACAATTTAGCTTTTATTTATTCAAATAGTATCTTAAATATCCTAAAAATTTACATTTAGTGTCATGTTTTAAGACATGCATGCATCTTCAACTTCATACAACCCTTCTTCCACAGTATGTAAACATCCTTTAAGGAAATGTAAATTGACTTCCATTTATTTAAATACGTATTTTGAATATTCTAAAAATTTATATTTAGTGTCATGCTTTAAGACGATATACAAGTATCTTAAACCATATGTAACATTTCTTCCACGATATGTAAGTACCTTTTAAGAAAATACAAATTGACTTTCATTTATTTGAATATACATTTTGGATATTCTGAAAAGTTACACTTAGTGTTATATAAATATTTTAAGATAATATGCAGATATTTTCAACCATATGCAATCCTTCTTCCATGATATGCAAGCATCCTTTAAGGAAATGCAAACCAACTTTCATTTATTCGAACTTGCATTTTGAATATTTTAAAAATTTACGTGTACTATCATGTTTTAAGACAATATGCAAATATTTTCAACTATATAGCCCTTTTTTTCACGATATGCAAGAATACTTTAAGGAAATGCAAATTGGCTTGCATTTATTTGAACATGCATTTTAAATATTTTGAAAAGTTACACTTAATTAGTGTCATTTTTTAAGATAATATAGACATATCTTTAACCATATATGACCCTTCTTCCACAATATGCAAGTGCCCTTTAAGGAAATGTAAACTGGCTTCCATATGTTTGAATATGCATTTCAAATATTATGAAAATTTACAATTAGTGTCATATTTTATAACAATATGCAAGTACCTACAACTATATGCAACTCTTCTTTCACGATATGCAAGTGTCCTTCAAGAAAATGCAAACTGGCTTTCATTTATTTAAATATGTATATTGAATATCTTGAAAATTTATACCTTGCTTAACACGTTGATATCAAAGGACCTTATTTAACATGTTAATGTCAAAGGATCTTGTTTTACATATTATCACCAAATTATTAATAACGAATAACCTTGTGACATATTGATAGTGAAATACCTTGTGCCACATATTGATAGCAAAAAACCTTACTGAAATTTTGTTTTTCTTTTAATTATAAGGGCAATCTAATCATTTGGAACTTCAAATTAATGTTAGTGAAGATCCCAATTTAGAATCTCTCTCAAGTCCTTAACAAAGTTAAATTTGGTCAAGTCTTTTTGAGCAATTTTCTTATAAAATTAAGAATTTTTGTTGAGTCATTGAAAATATTCATGCTATTGGAACTTTGATTTTGACATAACCTTGAACCTTTTTAAATTTTTTCAATGGTAAGATTGGGAAGACAACTAAGCTTGTTGCTTAAACCCTTCTAAAAATCGTCATACTCCCTAGTCCCTCTCTCTTTTTCTTATAAGACAAATTATTTAATTTAACATATCAACACAAAATTAATTACTTTATGTCATAATTTTTTTTCTCTTCTTCCATTCTTGCCTTTAGTTAATGCTTATAATTTTCTCAACTTTGCTTAGGGGGGACTGGTACTTTTATTCATTGATTAGGGGCATTTTAAAAAAATTATTAGTTACAATCAATTATAAATCATTGCTTCTAAAAGCTTGTAAATTGTTTTATATATAAAAAATCACATCCTCTATTTTTTTTTAATTAGAAACGAAAGGAATAACATAAAAAAAAAGTGACTAGCAATTACACTAGGGAACTCAAATATTTAGATATTTCTGGCATTAAATTATGCTTACCATCAAGCTTGTGAATTGTGATGTGGTTTGTCTCGCGCACTATTGCTAACGTATTAGAGACAATATGTGATACATAGTTATCAATATTCAATTATGGAAAAACAATATTAACAACTTGAAAATTCAGTTAACAGACACGTGTCAATGATGTTATTAATGTTGAATTTATCGAATAAGTATAATTATAAGCCAAACAATAGACTGCTTACTCTCTTGGGGATGTTGTGCACCTATTTTCAAACAAATTATAAGCCAAACAAATTATCTCCACTCCTTTATCATCATAATCAGGAATCTTGATATTATATTTACGTCGATTTTATATTTTACAACACATTATCAATTAGTTGATAAAGAATCTCGATATCTGTAGATTCACAGGCGAATATAATAGACCCTTAAAGTTCACCCATTTAATATTTTCAGCTTACAGTTGAAGAAGGATGATCTGACTCACCAAGCTCTGATTATTAAGAGTAAGCCCATTTCCTGACTAAACCAAGTGATGGTATAGAAGTGATGACAAATGCAACAAAACACATGTTTCTATTATATACCAATGTCTTGCACATGTCACTTGCATATTTGACAAATGTTCCCACATCTGTTTCAACCTAGGCTTTTGGGTACATTCTCTCTTTTGCATCCCCACAATCAGGCTAACAAAACTTGGAATTCAATCAGAGATCAAACTATAGAATAGATTTTATTGCATATCTTCCCAAAACACATTCAACTGGATTCACCAATCAATAAGCAGCTCTGAAAAGATAGATGCTCATCTTTCTTCAAGAATGCATAGCTTCACTCAAAATATACAAGGTCACGGCCTCCACTGCATTGAGGAGGCGACAGGAAACAAAAAGGCATCTTGGTGCAGACTCTGGATCAAAGTTTACTGGCTCCGTGCGTTGATACCACAATACCCAAGTATAGGCTGAGATGACAACAGTGAAAAGTCACAAAAAATGTATCAATTAAGTTTGCTGGTTCTTCGTTTCGCTGGCCCACCAGGAAACAGCTTCATAATCCATCCTAACACCCTTTCAACCACCTAGGAGGACAGAGAAAAATGTCAATTTCTTTTGGTTTTCATGCATTCGACCCCTTTATTTCTTAGCAGCTTATGGAGTTACAAATAAAAAGCCGTAAAGTTTCAACATAGACTTCCTCGAGGCTTCACATAGCATGATGTTATATAAATCATGTCAGAAAATTTTTAAGTTCACCTAATCAATGTGTAAGCTGAACATAGATGTTACCTCATCACCCTCATCTGCATATGGGGCATTGTCATACGTAGTGTGAGAGTCTGGTTGTTTTGCTGCAACATGGTCACTAGCCATACTTTGAGCGGTCAAAAACTCCAATCTTTGCGTCTGGGCCTCAAGTTTTCGGGACAACTCCTTGTTTAACTCCTTCATGAGAACAAGGCAATAGACATGATAAGACTAAAACGTGAACCAAAATATATTTGTCAGGAAGTTTCTAACACTTTCAGCAAAATTTGAGACCGAGTGCTTTTTTTTTTTTGGGGGGGGGGTTATTTTTTTTTTTACTCATCTTTTTTTGTGGTTTTATTGGAAAATGGCTTAGCCCCCCCGTCATTGGAGGTTTCTCCTTCTCCCATACAATTTAATTTTATATCCCTCCCAAAAAAGAAAAATGGGATGGTGCTACGTCTAACTTTCAGTACGTTCAAACTAATGCTTTGATAAGGCTTCCGTATCTCTTTTTTCACCAATATAAAACATTCAACCAAGAACTCAGAAGTTCAGAACTACTCTCACTTCCAGGAGAAGAGCTCGTTTTCGGTCAATACAAAGTGAGAGCCAGTAGATTAAGAAAGACATTCCAGGGAGTTGACAATAAAAAAGAATGCCAAAACTTGTAGACAACAAGTGCGAACTCAGTCAAACAAAACGACAGAAACTAATTTACCTTCATCCTGGAACACTGAGACGATTCAGATGCCAAGGCCTTCAGCAGTTCCTCTTTCTCCAATGCCAACTGCACATGGAAATGTTGAGAAAACTATGGGGTTATTCAGTGGCTACTAAAACTACATATGATCAAACACATTGAAGAAGGAAGGGTGAAAAGGATTAATTCTCTAACAAGTAAAATGGGGAAGGGGAGAAAGGTATATAGTTATACCACCAACAATCTAAAATTTTACAGGATCACATGCTACCTCAGAAATAAGTGCATTAATGTTCTCAATCAATCTTGTCTGGTCAGGTGGAATATTCGCAAAACCTCCAAAAGTTGAATGCGCAGCTTCAGGAACCAAGGATAAACCACAGGAATCCGTAGCAGAGTCGTGCATTTCCTGACTGGAAGATGTTGCAGCAGCATCTGTGCTCACTGCATGATATGTAAATAGACATCACCAAAGGTAATAAATAAAGACCACTAAAAATTCCACAGTAAATGGAAATAATATATAAAACATGTAAATAATATATAAAGCATGTAAGACTTTTATGAGTTCAATCAAAATCCTATACCACCAAGAAAGGCAGCAACCAAATTTCCTTCCTTCTCAAAGATTAGAATTAGCAATTACCATTTTTTAAGGATAAAAGAAGGAAAAATATAAAAGAGGACAGTAAGGCTAGGGAGAATAAAATATTGCAGAGTCTCAAACTTTCAACAAGCTCCCCAATCCCTCTACAATCCAAAAATAAAATTTATTTCATAACAACAATGAGCAGAATGCCAAACAGGTGAGCTTTTCGTTAGTGATGTGTTCTTCTTTGTTCTTGCTTTCATAACATTGATTTCCTTTGAGACAAAATTTTTTTACCATCTGCTCTTGTTCTTCATTCTTTTTATTCTCTAAAAATATTCATTTATCAAGTGGAAAGTGAATATACACCAATGCCTGCTTAGATACGATGCGCAGGTACAAAAGTAGAAAATATGCACAAAGGGTCTGCTAAAGTCCTTATCCCCTTGTCATCATTATTTCCCATTTAATCATTTCTGGTTCTATTGAGAAATCATAGCAATTCAAAACTTTCTCACATTATGATTGCAGATAACCAATTGCAAGACCCCAAACTGTGGCCAGCTAGGGTGACACTTCCCTATAATCTACAGATAGGATCATGAGAGGTGGGCAAAATTAGATGTAATTTGTAACTTCCTTGAGTTTATATTAAGATTTGGAGTTTAACAAATTGAAGTTTTTGGGTTTATTAAATGTCAAATGGAGTTTATCCAAAAATGAAGTTTCCAAGTTAATGAAGTTTCCTTGGGCTTAGCAATATTTCAACAACAACAACAACAATAAGCCTTATCCCACCAAGTGGGATCGGCTACATGGATTATATGACACCATTGTGCTCTATCATTTATTAAGCTTGTAGAAATATTGTTAATTAAAAGGTCTCGATCAACAATCTTCAAAAGTGTTCTCTTCAATCTTTTCAACAACAACAATGAGCCTTATCCCACTAGGTGGGGTCAGCTACATGGATTATATGACATGATTGTGCGCTATCATTTATTAAGCTTTTAGAAATATTGTTAATTAAAAGGTCTCGCTCAACAACCTCCAAAAGTGTTCTCTTCAATCTTCCTCTACTCTTCTTGACATAGCTCAAAGTCATCTGTTCCACTCTCCTCACAAGTGCCTCCCGTTGTCTTCTTTGTACATGTCCGAACCACTTTAAACAATTTTCTACTATTTTTTCTTCAATAGTTGCCGTGCCCACTTTTTCCCATATTCACTCACTTCGAATTTTATCTTTATGTATATATCCACACATCCATTTCAACATTCTCATCTCTACTACTCCAACTTTATGCTCTTATTGTCCCGTCAAAACCCAACATTCACTACTATACCAACATGCTTAGCAATGTTTCAAAGTTCAAATTTTTCCTAGTTTTTAACCATGAGTTTGATTGTAAATAAAGCTTTCTTATATATAAAACTCAGTTTTAAAATTCAAGGTGTTGCATAATTGCACCCCATGAAGGACCACAGAACAAAAATAAGAAAAGAATAACATAAGAGTTAAGAAGAGCATTGAAAACCATATTTTGGGATCTAGAAATATATCACCTAACGTATTGATAATTCATATATTTTACACACTTTTATCTCTTTTATCTTAACTTTTTAGCACTTGTTTTGATATAATTTGAAATAAATGGGTAATATTTATGGTAAAAGGCAAAAAGAGAGGAATTTTTGGAATTTATTGCATATTTTTTCAGATTTTATTAAATATTATTTTTAATCCCCTAAAATTCATTTTTTCTGTTGATTTTATTATTTTATGTGTAGGTGGCAACATGGAAGATAGAAGAAGCAAGAGGATAAAGTGGAAAATTCAATTCTCTTATTTCCCTTTCTTTTTATTTTATTTTCTTCTCCATTTATTTTTTTATACTTTTTTCTTAACCATTTTTTATTCCTTTAAACTCCCATTTCATTCTCATAATTACTAGCCCATAATTCTCTACCCAATTTTCATTCCCACACTTTCCACTCTCTGTCTTTCCACTTGCCATTTTATTTTCTATTCCATTAATTATGGATTATCATGATTTTTTAACAACAACAACAACAACAAGCCTTTATCCTACTAGGTGGGGTCGGCTACATGGATTGCAAGACGCCATTGTGCTCTATCATTTATCAAGCTTTTAGGAATATTATTAATTAAGAGATCGCGTTCAATCACTTTCAAGAGTGTTCTCTTAGGCCTTCCTCTACCTCTCTTAATCGGATTCAAAGTTATATGTTCCACTCTTCTCACTGGTGCCTCCCTTGGTCTTCTTTGTACATGCCCAAATCATCTCAACCAATTTTCTACCATTTTTTCCTCAATAGGTGCTACCCTCACTTTTTCGCGAACGTGCTCATTTCGAATTTTATCTTTACGTGTATGTCCGCACATCCATCGTAACATTCTCATCTCTGCTACTCCAACTTTATGCTCTTGCTGTCCCGTTAGAGCCCAACATTTTTTAATTTTACCAAATCGTAAAATAAAACATTTTCTCATAAAAAAATAACACAGCATGTGCCATCCATACAATTTTCACTTATAAATTCAACACTTAGATTAATAATTCTTTTTTTTCCCATCACCGGTTCTCTCCCACTTACATGTGCTCTTCATTTAGACAATTCACTTGGAGAATTCACGAGTTCATGTTGGTCCCATTCATCCAGTCATTGTTCTCTCAATTCATGACTGGGCAGCTATTCATTCACGAGAGCTCTCTTCCCTTTATTCATCAACTTCCTTGGTCTCTCCATCTCTCTCCCATTTTCTCTCGGACGTCATCTCTTCCTTCCATCTTCCAGCTTCGTCCCTCTCATCTCTTCCTTCCATTTTCGGCATTTTCTCTCATCAATTCAAAATCAGAACCGACCATTCTCTTCTCTCCTCCATCTGCCACAAAACCTCCACATTTGTTCATCCATTTTTTCTCCTTTAGCTTGTGCGATGTCCTCTTCTTAGTTGCTCCCATGGCTACATTTTTGAAGCTGTTTGGTGGTGCTTTGGAGATGGATTTTCGTGGCTAAAAGGCTCTTGATTCCTAGGAGAGGGATGGAAGAAGCTTAAGTTCAAGGGAGCCACATATTGGCTAAGTTTTACATTCTAGTTTCCTCTTAATTTCTTCTTGCAATTTCTCTATTCCTATTTGGATTTGTGAAGCTGTAATTTTGCACATAAGGTGTTTGATTAAGTGCCTATGATATTTTTGTATGAGAAGACTTGTTATTTTGTCGTTTAATTGCTGGAATTTTGCTGCCAAATTTAAATCCAATGGTCAAATGCATAGTTTTATTGAATTGTTGAATGCCTAAGGCTTGAGCAATTGTATGGTTACATTGTGAGGCTTTGGCAAGAATTAACTAGGCTTAATTTTGGAGTTAAATCTTGGTTAGGCACTGTTTAGGGGCTGTTCTTTGCTAATTGAATGAATAATAACAGATTGGATGCTTAACGATGCAAGCCTAGCTTACCACATAATCACTAATGGTTAGGATTGTGTGTGACTATGTTTGCTAAATGCTATGTTTGAGATAGCTCTTGAACCTTTTTTTTTTTTGGTCAGTGAGAGCGTTGCCTAGCAAGTTCATTTTTTGAACGAGGATTGCTTCTCCATTACACTCCTAGGGATCGCCTCTCATCCATTCCTGAACCATTTATTCACTCACTTTTTTTTTTAAATTAGAAAATCATAAATACCAATTAGGTTTTAATTCTTTGCAAATTAGGTAACTAAGATCGACTCTTTCGGTACAGTTCATACACTTAAAAATCAATTTCAATCAATTTTCAACCTAACTCATTGGGGATTTGACCTAGGTGACCACTAACTACATTAGTGTTTACTTAGTGCTTTTGGTGCATAAACGGTTATTGCATTTCACATGCTCCATGCCTTCAATGATACCAAACATCCTTCTTAAGGATAATTATCAATGAAGGTATATGTACCTATATCTTCTGTAGATGTAGAAACGTCCTTTTTCTTAGTTGAATTTTCAATAGAGTTCCCAATTCCAGAAGCCTTCCGTACCTTGGACTGCAACAGCTTCTTTTCTGTATGTCATTGGAAAGGCAAAGAATGAACATGGATCCAAATAGTTTGCATATGACTTCAACAGATTGCAAGAAAAGGCCAAGCAATAGTCGACACAAAAATCAAAGACAGAAAAAACAAATAACTCTTGGTTAGAAAAGCTCTTCATCACTCTACATATCTGTTAGGAAGAACAACCAAAAAGGAATAATAGCCAAGCACCAGAGAGGTTATAAGAACAACCCTATCTCATAGCAGATCCAAACACGGTTAAAGAACCTTGAAAATTCAACCACCAATATCCAGCCAAATACAAAGACAGCAAACAGGTATTAAATACTACTTTAAATAACACCAACATATACAATGGCAAAGAGGAGTTCAGATGATTGTCAGTGTGACAAAAAAAGCATCCTATTTAATTAATTTTATAGTGCACTCACAAGTTAAAACACCCAGAATTAAGAACTAGCTAGCAAAGTACTAGACCAGCTGAATGACTAAAAACAAGCCAGAAACATCTTCTCTTTTCTCTATTCCAGCCCAATTTGATGTGCTCTATAAGTCCTGGTTTATTCATGCTTTTATATGCATCAAATAAGATACTCGGCTTACCACCACCAGAGAATATATGTGAGCTAGAAGATTAAACTGACAACTTTAAATATGGTATGTTCAAAGAATGTGCTTTGAAACTGCTGTAATAAAAACACAATTAAAGCCCAATTACCCTCTTGAAGAGCATTGATTGTTGACTGCAGATCATGGCGATCTTTCTCTAGGCTGGACATTTTCTTTCTGCAAGAATTACTAAGGACTGTCATTTTGGTATGCCCTATCATCATCTTCAATGAAACTAAACTAAGCGAGAAAATCAACAATGGAGGGGCAAACCAAGTGGTAGAAGGTCAGAAGCCATAAAACCAGAATGATTTCGTTTTTTTCAAAAAGAATAATTTTTGCCTCATAAGTAATTCAAAAAAAATTAAAAACCACTTCTAATAGTTATGAATATAATCTATTGCAGAAATCGCAAAACTCAACGCGTCAGTAACATAATTCACCGTGCACAAGTCTTGTAAGTCCATAGAACCTCATGACACAAGGTAATTGAAAATACAGCTTTGAAAAAATAGGTGAGATAACACAATTTAAGTCAAATTATTTCAAAACATATACTAATTTGCCCCATCCAGTGGCCATATACTCAGCTTGTGAAAATATATACTAATTCACCATGCACAAGTCTTTTAGGAAGATACGCGGCAAGGAAATTCAACTTGATCCTCATCTATTTTTCCTTTGAACTGCTCATGCAGCACTTGCAGCCACGTTTTCTAGATTGGATGGAATAAATGCTTCTTAGAATTTCATTTTTCAAAAATCTTCACAATCCAGAAACTTCTAACATTGTCTTCCTTCTCATATTAGTTAGAAGTCCAGATTTAAGGAACCAATAAAGCAAGATATCAAAACAAATGACACCTATTTATGCAGAAACCATGGCTGAATATAATTTTTAATCCATCCATCCAAGATTCTTTCCGTTCATGAGTGAAAATTGAAGGTCACCTGTAGGAAGTAATTTCAGCTTGTGCATTTTCCAATTGTTTCTCAAGCTTTAGCTCATTTGACCTAAGTTTGAGCGCCTACAAGGTTCATTACCCAAACCAGCTTTAGAACATGGAATGTAATAAATGCTACTAACCCAACATTGAAGAGTTTAACTACTAAAGTTTATATTAGAATAACAACACCTTATTGCAAAATAATAATAATAATAATAATAATAAATAAATAAAAGATAATTGCACGTTTGTCCATGTTAAAGTTATATATATAATATATATGAATTAATATTAAAAAGTTATAAATGCATAGATTTATTGATAGGACAAATCACCTAACCCCTTTTTTCAGGAAGGTCTAACATCCAATTCTTTATAACATGACATATTATCTTTCTTTCTCTTGCTTCGATTCCCTCCTTTTTGCTTAAATTCCATGAGGGTTATAAGTATAACTTCTAAGACTGTTAATAGAAGCGTGGTTTTCAACAGATCAGCAGTATGAAAAGCAAATAACTAATTGCTCAACATGCCAAGAAAATTAAGTACCTTATCCTCCAAACCAATCACTTCAGATGCCAATAACTTGGCACGTTCATCAGCAGCATTACATTCTAGTTGTGCATTTGTATATTCATTCCTGACAGACTCAAGTTCAATCTGTTGGCACAAATGGTTCCGAACAATAGAATTGAGTAGAGAGGGAACGATAAGGAGAGTGAAACTTACGACCCATGCTATATTTCAATAATGATAATGACAAAGAACAGACAATCAATGCTGCAGAAAATTTCAATTCTACCAAACTCATCTTCAGAATAGAAATCTAAGATTTACAAGCCTTAAAATTGACAACAAGTCTTGTCCCACTAGAAAGGGTCGGGTTACATAAATTGCATGACGCCATTGTACTCCATCAAAAACCAAGCTTTTGGACATATTGTTAACCAAAAGGCCTTGTACAGCAACTCCATTGAGTATTCTCTTTGGTCCTCCTCTACCTCTCTTCATAGAAATCAAGACTATCTATTCCACCCTCCTCACTGATACTTTTCACAGCCTTCTTTGTTCACATTCCAACAATCTTAAACAAGTTTCTACCATCTTTTCCTCAATAAATGTCATGCCACTCTTTCTCATATATGCTCATTATGAATCTTATCATTTCTTATATGCCCACATAAACCTTAGAAGTTAGAACTGACAAGTCACTTAAAATTTCCATCCCCAGAACATGAAAAGAAGACAAACTAAGCAACAACCACAAATGATAGAGCTACAAATAATAGAGACAGGCATGGTATAACAACAAAGTCATGGATACTTCTCTTTTCTACAAGAATTCAAAATATTTCACTCTCTTTTCTTTTTTTCTTACGTCAAACCCAAAATGCTCTCAGTTCTTTTCTACAAGCACTTTTTGTGTAGCTTGAAGTAAGTCACTCATCAGAAACATTTCAGAAATGAAGACACTCAACCCAATAAGCACAGCATCTATTCATAACCAGTCTGTTTCAAAGAGACATGTCAATTCTTTTTTACATATTGTCTCAGTTGCTCCAAATGTTCTTCTATACTAATATTGTTTTAGTTCTTTTCATTACTACAGAGAAGAAAGCACCAAGAATGGTGGGATCAAAAACATTATTGGTTATCTTATAATCAAAATTCCGAAATAGTAACCAAGTCACACACATATACAAATGCCTCTGCAAATCAAATGCTGAGATAAACATGGGGATAAGCAATGTCTATGCATGCGCTTGCACTGCTAATAAACATATATTGCTATAGACTATGAATAATTGTAAAATGGTGTAAAAATGTAGAAGAAGAGTTAGAAAATCATGATGGGTTATTGATACAAACCAGATGAACTTTGATTTCTTCCTGTAACCTCTCTATGTCAGATTTCAATTGGTTGACAATACTTCTCTGTTGAAACACAAACAAGAATTACAAAAGCAGGGTAGAAAGTGCTTTGAGAAGCTTATAAAAGAACAATGACAAATAACTGCATTTTCAGTTCAAACTTAAAAGTCAACATTCTAAGTAACTCCCCAGATTAGAAGCAACCAACATGAACTAACAACCAATGGCCCATAAAAAATTATGTCTGTTTTCCAAGACAATTGCACAATGGTTATAACTTCAAAGTTACAACCATGTAAATTCTCTCAACCAAAACTCAAGACAAAAACACCCAGTGACATTCAAATTCACTATCTCATACTCAACATTGGTCATTACTTTTTCTTTCTTTCTTTTCTTCTTGGGGATAAACAACATGGGCCATTACTAAAGAATGTAGTCAGGTCAAGTCAACCCAAGTCCCCAAGATTACTGAACGAAAGTCACCACTATTACTGCTCCTCTTAATGGAACTGAAATTCCCCCAAATTAAATATTCACCTACTTTTTCTAAGACATCTTAAAATACTCAATAATCCAACATGTGGAATTCTGGATACTGATGCATGCATCATATAAACAGTAAAATTTAAAAATACCAAAAAGCATCTGGTTCAGCATAAAAATAATGACAAAACTATATAACCTCAAACAGTCCCATATCTGATTATCCCTTAGAATCACATTTTAATTCACAAGCCAACCTGTTGATTATAGCTATCAGTTAGAGATGAATTTTCAGCAGCTAATGACTCTGCCAATGATCGGGAAGCCTCAAGAGCACGTTGTAAAGAAAACTTTTCTTGTGTCAGATCTTCAATATGCTGCAGTACGAATAAAGAGAAAACCATAAATAAGAGGAAAAAATTTGTCATAAGTTAGAAAGTCTTGTAAAAGCGTAGATGCTTAAAACAAGATCATGCATTAACTCTCCCTATGTCCTGAAAGATTATCCTCCACATGATAGAACAAAAATATAAATCAATAACAAACTGAAAAGCTTGGAATACTAGTTTATGCATAACACTTTTCAAATAATAGCCTATCAAATTTTCCTTTTAATTAACCTGGCAGCAAATTATTTAACACTCTTCATCAGTTGCACAAAACAAACTCTAAGAACTAGAGCGCCAAAAACCATAGCCACATGACAATGAAGCAGCTAGTTCTGAACATTCTGTTCCTTCTTTCTACATCTGCAGCGAAAGCTTATAAGAGATAATCATGGGGTACATTTGGTTGGGGTTTTTTGGAGGGGAGTCAAAATTTATCATTAATTTGCCCTTCTCTTTGCATCCCTCTGAGCCTTCTTCCTGAGTACCCAAGCTAGTCACGTCTCACTGCCTGCATTAGTAGTGTGCCCTCTTCTTCCTCATTCTCTGTATATAGCTCTGTAACTCTGTTTCCTGCGCACTTTATAGTCATCACTGTGGGCACCTTCAACTTTGATCTTCACCTTCAATTTCTCTGCCACAATGTCCACTTGAAGTCGCCCCTCAAAGCCTCAAGTGCTGTGGTTGGTGATTCATTTCCAATTTTCTATTGTGATGATATAATGATGTTTGATTATTAGAAAAAACCATTTTCCTTATATTAATGAAAAATTAAAATATTAAAATTTCATTGAGAATTAACAAATAAAATAATTCAATTCTAAAATAAAATATTGTGTAGAATTGACGTGATAATTAAGGCATATAATCATCTTCACTATGCAATTTGGGTTAAGGTCTAAAATTATTTTTCACAAAAAAATAATTAAAGAACATAAAACTCACATATAAGGATATAATGGTAAACTAGTTAATACATCCCCTCCCATCCCCAACCAAATAAGAGATCATTAAAAACCCCTCCCCTCCATTCCTCCCCTCCCCCAAAACCAAACACAGCCATAATGTCCTATGTTCCAAGAGTTTAATTTATCAAAATTCCACCCTAAAAAAAGAATGCACTATTGAGACATCCAGCTTATTGGGCTGCAAAGGAGACACGACGTAAGTTGGTTTGCATGATTTTACTCTCTTACTCTTTTAAAATCAAAATAATGATACTATTTTCATCTCCAGCACAACTAATTTTATTAGGGAACAGGGAACTACATAAATCTAAGAAAAATTCGTTGATCCACTTTGGGATCTGAAATAAGCCCAGAGAAGAACATATATTCCAACTTCTCTCTTAGTGATTAATCACTATACAAAAGTTGACAGACAAATAATGCCTGTGGAAGCCGTTAATTTAAAAAAAAATAACGTCAAGAGGAATATAGATTGTTTCTAGATGATTCAGTGAACTTTGTAGTTATTATCTTTCCAATATAAAAATGCAAGGTTCAGTAAAAGAGATTTCATGGAAAATTAAAGAAAGCGATAAAATCATGAAATCCATGAGTCATCATCTACATCATCCAAAAGTTATGAAACAATCAGAATGTTACCAGCAGAAAGTACCTGTTCCAAAGCAGAAAAGTCTTCATTTTGTGTAGGAGCATAAAACTCATGTCTCTTCTCCACATTTTTCTCCTTCGCACTGCCACTCAGAATGTCTTGACTATTACTGTTAAAATTTGAGCTTGTTGAATGATCAAATTGACTCTGCAAGCTTGTAGGTGTATAATTTGAGAAAGGTGCCATAGTTTTGGTCTCCATGGATGGATCAGGAAAATAGGTAGATTCTGATATACCAGTGATGCTAGATTCTGGATGATTGGAGAAAAAATAATCTTTCTCGGGTCTGGCAACATTTAGAGAATCAAGAAAAGATGGACGAGACTTCCTAGAACTAGACTCCATAGGCACTGAATGGGTTGGAATATGATTAGATGAATGCCTTGCATCAGAACCTGTAGAATTTAACTTTTCCATCGTTACACTAAGCAGACTAGGGAAACCACTATCAGATCTTGAAATGGTCTTTTCCAAACCAGAACTCAAAGAATTGCCATAGCCTGCAGTGCAACATGTAACATGCACAAGGTCAGCAGCATAGATACTGGGCCATTGGTGAGATGTGTGATTTCTAAGCTAGAATCAACATATATATTGGGGAAAAAATAATTATTAAAAAACGTTAAAAGGAACTGTAGATGAAGAGGCCAGGATGAAGTAATTACTTCCATAAAGTGAGCCATGCATGTAGCTGCTATCTAGAGTGCTAGAATTAGTTGGCTTAATCTGTGGTATTGTATCAACAGAACTCTGAGGTGAGAATTTTGAAGAAAAGTGAGACCCATCATCAGCAACTGTATGATCATTCATTGAACTGCCACTCTTATTTGAATGGCTTTGATTGATTCCAAGAAGAGAAGAGAGATTAGTATTACTATAAAACACCTGACTTTCCTGTGAATTGGGAGCAATATTTTCATTGTACGTAGTCCTATATGCCACTCCGCCAGCATGACTTGTATACATATCATTCACCTGATTTTCTTCATTTTGACTAAAATCTATAGATCCAGTAAGACCAGAAGCATTATATCTATTAACCCCATCCATATTCACATGTGTCTCCATAAGAGTAGTAGATAAAGAATTATGATCATTCTTTGCAGAACTAGTGATGCCAGAGACAGAACCCTGATTATTATTTTGGGTAAACATATTCAGGCTTTTGTCATTGCTCATCCCTGAAATTGATGCATCATTAACAGTTCCACCAATTCCATCAGATGTGCTAACTCCGTTTGCCTCATTAGCTCGTACATGTTCATTTTCAGAAGGTTGTTTTCCATCTTGGCCATCAGAATTGCTAGCTTGACTAGAAGATGCAGCCTTCTTAGCTGCTTTCTTTCTACGAAACTCATCTAGCTGCAGGAGGAGAAAAAAAGATTTCAGTTTGACAATAAATTCCACACGCATTTACAGCAACATATTAGCAGCAAATCCTCATGCATTTAAAAAAAAAAAATAGAATGCCACAAATACATAAGTTTTGCAATCATGAAATCTCATCGTCATGAATTTAAGCCAACACTTTTCATTTACATTTGCAACAACATATTAGCTCAAACAAATGAGACATGCTTACATATGGTTACTAAATTTGTCGTGATCCTCTATTCCTAGATCCTAGTCCCTATCATTCCCCCTCCATTTTCATTGCTGCTGGCTTCCTTCCATTTTCACTTCACAAAAAGCAAGCCCGAGATTTATCTTATAAAATTAGTCTCAAACCACATTTCCATGACTAAAACTGAAAATTACCGTTCAAGAACTTAGAGATTAAAGATTTATGGGAGAACACAAACATGGAATTATATTCCGCTACGTCAGTCCCCATATCATCGACTCATTTTCTTCCCAAGTTCACGTACAACAGTAGTTGCCCAATTCTCATAAACATCATGCATATACACAACCATTAATAAAGAGCTCCCAATCAATAACTTATTTTTCACAACCACAAATAAAGAGCTCTCAATCAACAACTTATTTTTCACATATTTATCAAGTTTCTACCAGGAAATATATGGATCTAATCCATACCCGGCGCTTTCCAGCTTCCAAATGCTCTTGTTTCCGTGATGAAGCGGCTGGGTTTGGCAGCACCTGAGCTGATGCCATTGAGACCAAAAATCCCGAAACACGAAATTTTCATAAAATTAACGCAAAAATTGCGACCCCGCCACAATTCGCAGAGAGAAAAATAACAGGCCGAATCGAGAAATCCCAAATGCAATAAATTTTGTGAGACTTTTAATCGAAATCCAGATCAAGAATTCGGCCCATGGATGCAAAAATCGAATAATCAACGGTCGGAACAGAAATTTTCAAAATTTAAACGTAACATACAAATTAAAGAGATGGAAAATATGCGGAATAAAGGAAAGATTCTCGGTGGCCTGCGTTACAGACAAAAGGCGGCCGATCTGATCGGACGGGAAGAGAGAGAAGCAATATGAAAATTTGGTTCTGGCGGATTGCCTCCCTTTTCTCTCTCTTCGTTATTTACCGTTTTCGTATTTTTGTTTTCCTTTTACATTTCTCAGGCTTAAACTGTTCATGTCTTCATGGCAGGTCATGGCCTAAAAACACAACTGTTCAGATTAGTGGCCAAAAAATGTAGTCAGGAGGGATTTGATGGCGATTACGTTAAGTAAATTGCTTCAATTGTATGGGTATGCTGCTGCAAAAAAATACGCATATAAATGCGCGTGCAGTTTTAATTGTATTCATTCCCCGTGTTAAAAAAAAAAAATCTAACTATCTCTCCAGATATTCACATTTAATTTATTACTGGACTGCGTATAAACTATATGAATGAAAAATGAGCTTTCTTCTGTTGATTTTTTTTTAAAAAAAAAAAAAGCAAATGCGATGTACAAAATTGCACATATGGATGTATATATGTAATAATTTTACATATCATCCCAAAACAAATCGTGATTTGACCCCCTAAACTTTCAACCTCCTTAACAAAGTTACTCTCTTTTATTATTAAAGATGTAACTTAACTTTAATCTTAACAAGATTATTTCTAAAAGCAAATGGGTATCTGCTCTCTTGATTGACCCAGACAAAAAAAAAAAAGGATATTTTATCTTCCATGCAATGCATATAAGGAATAACTTAAACCTAAATTTCCCAATTTCCATAGCAACAATGGGGTGTAGCACTAAGAAATTGAGGGAGCTAAAATGTTCTCAAGCACGTTTATGAATATTTGTCAATTGTCAATGTCTTCAAAGCACGACTCACAGGCATGCGGATCTGAATACATTGTTCAATGTTTAAAAAAAAAAAAACAACAACAACAATAAAAAACAAGAAAAAGGAAGGTTTATAAACAAAACAAAAGGTTATTTTCATTTCGATACTACGAAAATAATTAATTATATATATTATCTACCTTCTCATCATCTTTATTTCACCTTTTTTTCGTTTTCAATTTTAACATTACCGTTAACCACTATGAAAACAATTCCATGATCGAATGGAAGACGATTATTTTGCTAATTAAACTATTTATATCAAGAATCAAATTATAATTTAATCATAAAATTATAAATAAACTTTTTAATTAAAAAATAAAAAATCACAATGACCGATAAGTATTTATAATCATAACATACACATTTTTCAATGTCAAAGTACTCATTGGCCAAAAAAAATGTCATAGTAATCATACATATTTTAATACCATGCGCAAAGCGATGTGACACAACGGAGAATTCATCTTTCCAGATAATTCTAAATTCATCAAACATTAGCCAACCAAACTCATGCCAGTTTGCTGCCTTTGCTTATCTTAGAATCAAATACAGACCACTAATTATTAGCAAGACTTTTGTAACAAAAACGATCTTTTTAATGTAGGCTACCGAACGGCCTCACTTGTAACGAGTGAGTGATAGACAGACATCTTATTATTGCAGAATTTATTTCACCATCACATTCTTCCTTCACAAGGTAGTAGAATAAACACTCTGTTTCTCTAAAACATGCGCTCACTTTCTACCTCATGACTTGAGTGATCCTGATATAGTTACTTCCCTACGCCATTGGAGATGGATCATAAGCTTCTCATAATTAGGAAGGTTATCTTTTATGACAGGGATCTGCTTGAATCTCTGAAGCCATGCTTGCAAGCGAGGCAAATTGCTTGCTTCTATCAGTTTTATTCCCACAATTTCCCCCAAACCTTCCAACCAGATTCCAAGAACTCCATATGATATGTCCACCAATCCAATGTTGTTGCCTCCAAAGAAATTCTTGTCCCCTAGGCCTTGATCCTCCAACACTTCAAGAGTTTCAAGGGCTTTCTGGATTGTGTTTGCTTTTTCTTGTTCATCCTCAAAAGCTTGAAAAAATGGCGCAGTGACTGATTTGATCTGCAAAACCAAATTTTGGAAAGAAAAATTAAAGAGTGACTAGGGCAAACATGATATATATCCCATTAGATGAGCTTGGTCACCTAATTTAATTAATTCAACTGTTGAAAAGTCGTCATATTAATGTTGCCGGGAGCTTTATTTCATAAGGAATCAAGGGCATGTTTAGACCGAGAAGAGTGAAAAGGAAGGAACATCCTAATTTAGACCTTTTATCCTTTATTTAGACGTACACAAGCATATTATTTTTCCTCCCTAATCATCCATCATTCTCAATCCAAACACTCTCTAAGGAAAATTTTTCAGATTTAAGCTCAATCAACTCAAATACATACCCTTTGATTCGACCTATTTCACCGTTGAGTACACTTACGAAATTCACGCGTCACGAATTAAAACATGGAAAACTCAATCTCTTCAAAGATTAAACTTTCCACGAAATTGCCCATCATTTATTAACTTTTGAGAATACAGAACATATAGTTGAAGAACAGAGATGGAGATAGGGTTACCACATCATCAGCATATTTAATCCAAAACCGAGCTACGGCCCTGTCATAGACATCTTTTGGCAGCAAAGGGGTGTCTGGCCAGGTTTCTTCGATGTATTCAAGAATCACAGGGACTCTGCAATGGCCTTGCCGCCATGGAGAAGCACAGGAACTTTCTTGTAAACTGGATTGGATTGAAGAAGCAGTTCACTCTTGTTGAACCTGTCTTGTTCTATGTAGTCGTAGCTGATCCCTTTAAGCTTCAAAGCCCATATCACTCTGTGAACATAAGGGCTGGACCAAAATCCCAGCAGCTTCACGTCTTCCATTGTTGGGATGCATATGAGAGCTAGTGCCCGGGATCTGTAATTTTAAGGACGAGAAGGTCATTTACCACTTATCAGTGGATAAGAAAATAATATTTTCGTAGCGGAGCAGAACAAAGTGACAGAAGAATAGATGATGATTTTAAAGTTTCCAATTGTCAAAGAAGGACGGCTATTTTGTCCTATCCATATCCTGATATCCCGAAAATGCATGCACTGATGTGCACTATTTTCTTGGGAGAACATCGTTTTGGCCTTCGAGGAAAAAAAATTGTACTTATGACTCATCGTATTCTAAAATTATTTTACAAGTTTAAAGGTACTTTTTACAAATATATTTTACAAAAACAGAACATAATTGTTCTTAATAAAACATTAAATTATTTATCAATAGATAATTATTTATTAATATATAAATATAAAGTTGGAAATTTGTGAACACCTAATTGTAACAATTTAAACCTGCTATTATAATGAATTTTAGTTCTAAAACATATAAAATCATAAATTTTATATTTTGACTTATAAGTAGATAAACATGTTCTTATAAATATACAAATTTTTATTGTAAATATATTAAGTTAGCCAAAAACGAACTTGTCAACCTTAAACAAAAATTTTACTATCAATAAATAATTACTTATTAATATGTGAACCTAAACTTATTATCATGATGAATCTTAATTTTAAATATATGAAGTCATATATTATAGGCTTTGACTTAAAACCTGTAATTGTAAATATTTAAATTTTAAATTGTAAATGTATTAAGTCGAACATGTTAACCCTAAACAAAAATTTTACTTTTAATAGGCAATTATTTATTAATATGTGAACTAAAGTTGTGCATTTTATGAACATGTAATTGTAAAAATCTAAACTTGTACTTATTACCTTTTCTTGTTAAGGACAATTGTGTCCCTTCTCTTTAAAACATATTTGTAAAAAAAGCTCCTAGACTTACTGAATAATTTCAAAATACATTAGACCAGTATAATTTTTATCTCTTGTGAGCTTTAGATGAGATTCTTCCTTTTTTTTTTTCATTTTATCAAACTCCTTGATAATTTTAATTGAGGTATCCTATGTTAAGTAATTCCTCAATCGTATTCATTTATGATGTCAATCATGATGTACGAAGCTCGCGCCAAATTTTAAAGCATACAAGCACATCCGTGATGGTAATGTTCGAAGCTGTAGTTGGCATATTGTGAAAGGAAAAGATCCATACCATCCTCGACCACAAATCCATTTTTATAGCATCTAGATTATGATCTACGAAGTTTATGATGACAGTCAAATCATTATAGAGCACATCCATGATGGTAAGAACATTACCAAGCGGTCCTGTGGTTGCCTTACCATGAAGCCCTTGTCAGCATCTTGCAAAAGGACAGTAGAATCCCATTCTTGGAAGTTGGCAATAAACCCAACAAACAAACTAGAGGATTCATTAGAACTTCCGATACAGCAGTCATCTAGATGATCGAAATATTGCAGTAATAGCATTTGATTGGAATTGCGACCCAACATTTTGATTTCCCCCATCAGTCCTTGTAACAGAAAGTATATCTCTTTATATTGAGGGTGAGAGTGATCTTCAGCATTGAAAGCATGCACTTTATTTTTCACTTTCTATCCAACTCCAACCAGGAACCTTCTTCACACCCCTTTCTCGCATCAGTCTTGTTATACTAGCCTTTTCATCCCACATCTTTAAGACTGCCATACATGTCAGAAAGTATAACATAAGTACAGTGCTCCTCGGGCTCTAAATCAAGCAAAAAAAACTTGCTATCTGGCTAGCTAAATCAATATCCCCAAAAGTTCTACAGGCATCTAATAAAGTCTTCCAAACCATTGTATCAGGTTTGAAAGGCATTGTTTCAACCAAAGCTTTAGCCTTCTCTAGAAGCCCCGCCCGGCCACTGAGATCGATTGCACAAGCATAGTGCTTCATTCGTGGTGGAATCCCAAAATCAGACTTTGCTGACACTAGAAATTTGCTTCCTTCTTCTACCATACCAGAGTGGCTTGCATGCTGTTAGAACTGCAACAAAGGTTATATGGCCAGGTTTCACCCTTTCTGTTTTTCATCAAGTTGAAGAGGTCAAGTGCGATCTTTCCTTGCCCATGTTGTGCAAGGACAAAGATGATGGAATTCCAAACAATTGCGTTATCTTTAGAAGTTGCTTCAAAGAATTTCCTAGCATCTTCAATGATCCTACATTTAGAAATGAACTACCAACATATTCATTGGAATCAAACCCTACTTTAATTGTCAAGACGTGAAACTGTTGACCCAACTGTAGTGTTGCTAAATCCGAGCATGATCTGACGTCAGTCAGAAGAGTATAGTGGTCAATTTCTATGGCCAGAGATCTCATCTGTACAAATAACTTCAAGGCATCTTCACTCAGACCAACTTGGGAGTATCCTGTCAAAATGGAGTTCCAAGTAACACTATCCTTGGGTTCAATGGAAATGAAAAATTTTAATGCATCTTCCATGCACCTATTATTTAGTTTCATATACATGGCGATCAAAGAATTAGAAATAGGCGCTGAATTTTCAAGTCCCGTTTTCATTACCAAATCATGTAAGGATTTTCCATGGTGTTTATGCACTTGCGAGGAACAAGCACTAATAAGTGTAAGTATAGATATCTAGTTCAAACCTAAGAAATTGCAAGTCAATGAAGATTTTGAATGCAAGATCTTCTCGTTCATGCAATAAGCAGCAAGCATAGAATTTCACATGACCAAATCTCAAAACCTAACAGCATAATCAAATACTGATAAGAGTCCGTTGAATTAAATTTTATTTAATTATTGTTATTTTGAATTTTCAATTATTTTTTAGAGATTTTAGAAGAGATTTATTCAGATATCTATTTATTTAGGTTTTATTTAGATATTTAGTTCTTAGAGATTTTATTCAAATATCTATTTATTTAGGTTTTATTTAGATATTTAATTCTTTAAATTTTATTCAATACTTTATATAGGTATATATTATAAAATTTTATTTAGTTTTATTTAATTATTTATTATCTAAATTTTATTCATTATTTTAAATTGTATTTAACATTACAAATATGTTTAGCAATTTAAAAACAATCATATCATAAATAAAACAAACTTTTAAGATTTTTAAATCTTTGAAAATTCTTCTAAGCTTCCCATTAAGGGTATGTTTGGTTCAAAGGAAGGGGCGGGAAGAGGAGGGAAGGGAGGGGGAAGGGGAGAGGAGCTCCCTCCCCCCAATTTGGAGGGGAGGCTTTGGAGGGGAGGGGAGGAAAAATTTTAAAAATTTCCCCTACCCTCCTCGTAACCAAAGGAGAGGAGGGAAGGGTCCCTCCCCTCCAACCAAACACACCCTAAGAGCCAACCAAACACACCCTAAGAGAAGTATGGAACGAAATCTTTATTTTATATCATCTTGATAGATTTATTTCTTTTATTTTCTTATATTAATTCCATGTTCTCTTATTGATATTATAAAGTTAAATTCTGATTTCATATGTTAATGAATATTTATTTTCTTTATTTCTCTCTCCCTATCTTAAATCCTATTGAATGCTCTTTCAGCATCTTGAGGAGAGCCACACTAAGAATATGCCGTGACAGTGGCAAACGGTGTTGGCCAATTCCAGTCCATGTTTTACTATTCTTACAATCTTGCAATCTAGCTGCATTGCCAACTGATATAATTCAGAATCATCAAGCAATGTTAAAAGTGGAGATATTGTGCCATCATCAAGATTCACACCGTCCTGTTCCATACATTTTAGTAGCCAGAATGCCATGCTATGATCACCAGCTAGATCATAACAAGCAATGAGTGAATTTCAAGATACATAGTTAGGTGCTGGCATGCATTGAAATACGTAGTAGCCAGAATGGTTCCATAGAATATGTCCAGCATGCCTATGGTGTCCCCACCAGAAACTCTCCATCCTTCACAGCTTGCTCTTCCACAATTTTCAGTACTTCAACCACCTCTCTTCTGCTCTTGTCTCGATTTTCTTCAAATTTCACTAGACAACTATCTTGACGTGTCTTTGGATGAAAATTAAGGCAGTCAAATCGAAAACATGTATCAGAATTTGAACTGAGACTTACCTTATCTGATATAAACTTCATCCAGAACCGAGATAAGGCTCTGTCATAAGCATCTTTAGGGAACAGCGGATTGTGCAGACAGACTTCTGCAATATATTCAAGGAAACAGGGGACTCAGAGATGGCTTTGTCGCCATGAAGAAGCACAGGGACTTTCCTGTGCACTGGATTGGACTTTCAAAAGTAGTTCGCTCTTGCTTGAAAGGTCTTCTTCAATGTATTCATACTTCCCTCCTTTCAACTTCGGAGTCCGTATTACCTTGTGAACAAACGGACTTGCCCAAAATCCCAGTAACTTCACTTCATCCATGGCTCGTAGGAGGAGGAGAAGGCCAGAAAGGTCTAGGGCATTGTAGGAGAATCATAATTATTAACAAGTATATAATTGGTGAAGTTGGAGTGAATCAAGAGCTGGTATGACTCATTTCTTTGAAGTTTGAATTTTCAAAAACGCTCAAGGACTACATCATTGAAAACTACGGATAACCAAAAGACCCGTGAAACTAGTCATTTCTTTCTTGACTTGTTTTTAGAAGCTACTAGATTTAAAAAACAAAGAAAGAAAGAAAGAGTTGAAAAACCAAAAATATGAAACTCTATTTTTGGACAAGAGACACAGAAAATGTTATTTACCTCCACTGGCAAAAGAAAAGGAAAAGAAAAACTTATCTCTATCGGAATTTATTTTCCTACACGCACAAAATTGAAGGTCAACCAATTATTTACCTCCACTGGCAAAAGAACGAGAAGCTATTCCTAAATATGACTACAAGATTGATGATTATATCACACGCACATTCAACCTTCTAAGCCAAATTGAATGAATAATCATGTGGAACACATCATATCTCCTGGGAGGATAGTTCACTACAAAATGTCTCTGAACCTTCTTAACATTTTCTTGCATTCTCAAATACTGTTCATGGGAGATAGCCATCAAGATTTCCTTAAGCCTTGGGATTTCACTCACTGAGATCTGTACAGAGAAGGAATCCCAGTTCAGAACATCACTGAAAGGAAGAACATACTGCTGTGAGATTATCACAGGCACACACTCTGCATAAATAGCCTCCACAATCCTTGGGCTTGCCACTTCAAACCCACTAGGGCAAAGGCAGTACTTGCTCTTCTTCATTGCCTCTTCGTATGAAAATCCTTCTGGAAGTGTCTCATAAACTAGCACATCTTTGTCTTCCTTCTCCTTCCAGTGCTGGAAAAGTGCTGGCCTGATTCTGCCATGCATTTTCCCAGCAAAGAAGGCCAATATTGTTCTGTTCCATGGAGGGTAGCCCCCAACAAGACCTGTCGTTTCTCCTGTTTTCAGGTTGATTTCTGGAAATGAAGCATCTTTCTTAGGGTTGAAATGCTCAGAGATGTTTGCATTGCAGAGCACTCTGATTGAGATGAAATATAGTTCCTTCACATACCATGTTGATCTTGGCCCCTATGCACGTAAACAACCATTTAAACTAATCTGAGTAATGAATTTTAGATTTTAGAGAAAGAGTGTATGCAAATTTAGGTGAGAAAGAAAGAATACCCAGTCATGGCAGGAAAGCATGAAATGGTCAGCTCCATAACTTCTATTCCAATATGGGTATTTGTGGGATACAATTCTGACATAATCTCCAATAGTTCTCCCCAGCACAGCTTTGTCTCGAATCACTGGATGAAACAAGTGCTGAAGGATCATCACAACACTGAAGGGAAGAAAGTAGACGTGTGCTTCATCTGGATTCTGAGTCTGAAACTGCCTATTAATCTCCAACGAGTTGATGAAAACTCCTTCCAAGGAATATATATCCTTGCAGGGCCCATGGTGGAATAATGGAGGCTCTCCTTCTTCGTACACATAGATTTTGAAGAGCTTCTCCATTAACAGGTAACTCCTACATGGTTTAATTATCAAATCTAAATCAATTGAGAACATTTTACGCATAAAATTCAAAAGAAATTAATCATGATGAGCACTACTGCTGTAGCATACTCATTCTTCCACGTATTAAATTTAAGTACACTTCTTCGTTGGGAAACACTACGATTACATTTTGATTAGAGAATATGATAAGGATATGCAAGTATTTTACTGTTTTAAACGGTATTAACACCAAGATCAATGTGTGGTGTGAATTAGACTTCCGGTTCCTCTGTTTTCTTTCATTTTCTTGAAACAAGAAGGCTTATTTTTCTCTTCTTTTCTTTTCTTTTTTCCCTTTCTTTGAAGTTTGAAGTTTAAACATATACCTGAGGATTTCTCTTTGGGATATACTACGAGATTTTAATCAAAATTAATCAATATATGAATAAAGTTCAGCGTACCTGTGAAAAGCATAGGCTTTTCTGTAAATGTTTCCTTGCGGGAAATAATATGAATCTTGAAGTTTTTTAGTGTCGTTAGGCCTAGAATTTATGGCTTCTCTTATCAGAGCTCTAGCTGTAGCAAGCTCACCTTCAAGCCTCTCCAGTTTTCTATCTCCTTCCTTTGTTCTTTTCGCCACATATTTATTCTCAATACTCTCTTTAGGATTCTGCAGAAACACACATACACCCTCATTAATAATAAGAAATCTAAGAAAGAAAGAAGAAAAGGCTATATAACATGACATACAGTGTGAAAGGGAGAAGGCAATGAGAAAGAGGAGGATTAAACAAAGAAAAGGTGAAGAAGCACAGAGATGGAAGAGAGAGACTAAGCATTTTGAAGCGTCTGAGTAATCAAGAGCAGCAAATGCAACAATGGCGGCCAAGGCAAAGAGAAGAAGAGCAGAGCGTAATTTGTTGAACTTCCACATCCTCATCAAGGCACAAGAAGAAGAAGAAGAAGTAATTTTGTTGTGACGCCAACTTATTACACTATAGGTGGCTTCAGTTACATGTAGTAATTAGTTTTTATTAGAGACTGCACCACCTCGTATCATGGGACCTTGTCCAAACATGTCGCTGTCATTGAAAAGGAAATAACATATCAGCATCAATAACCTCTTAAAAAAAACCAAATATAAACAAATACACATGTTAGGCTTAGACGTTTCATTCTACCCTGGAATAATCATACACAAGGCTTTTATATTCTGCTAAGAACTGAAAATAAGATCAGTGCTGGAATCAGAATCAGCCACATTGAGTGCATGCTTGAAGCCTCATTCCATAGCCATGGCTAATTCTAATTCGCTCCATTTCATAAGAAACAATGTCCTTTCAGGTTAAGGATGGAGTCATGGAGAATATGAGGCCAACCAAACTCTTCTATTCAAAAAAGAAACCAGTTACCAACAGGTTTTTTTTTTTTCCCCTTTTTTATTTTGGGGTGGATAAGGTCATCAACCTCATTTGAACTAGTGTTTGTACAGTTTGAGTTAGTCAATTCTTAAGATATTAACGTGGATTGTGAACCAATAAGTCAATTCTATGACAACAGATACTTCTCAAAATTAGTGAACTGTCTCGCAGTAAATGGGCATGAAATATTGGTCAATTGGTGTAAGTGAAACCTCCTTCTAACAAATCAATACTAGCATATTATAATTAAATTAATAATTTTTGATAATTTTTAAAACAATACTAAACGAATTACATTACTACAAAATAAGAAAAAACATTAAAATTCTTAATTGAAAGAGTCAAATACCTTGTGAGCATTGCCAGGATAAATTCAAGATCCAAATCGTTCTTTTAAAATCTTGTTCGTTACTCCTGAATAGAAATCATATATTAATCTATAAAAAAAATTAGAAAATAGTAGAGCTAAAGCCTAAAATCATTTTAAAAAAAACAGTAAAAACGGGTAAAGAACAAAATAGAGACTAAACAAAGATCTTTTCAAAAGCGAGCATGTTTATAGTGGAGAGAAGAGACCTTTAGAAAAGAAAAGGGATGGATCATAAAGAGACAAGTAGTTGAAGAATAAATCAAGAGAAGTGATTAGAATAAAAGATAAAAGGTAACTCTATAAATAGACTTAAAAAACGAGTGCAGTGGCTTAATAAATGGCATATAATTTTCCTTCAAAAATCGTTAATCGACATTTGACTAGTGCTCATTAAGATTCAATTTAATAGGGGAAAAAAGTAGTCTTTTAAGAATTATATGAGATATTAAACAGATATTAAAAATAAAAAATGTACACTTGCGCTTATATAAAATTAATATATATATATATATATATATTTTCCTTGTTTATTAATATATATATATACACACACTCCTTTAGTTTCATTTATAAGTCACTTTTAACATGTTTTACCAATACTAAAAAAAACTTAAAAACTCATTAGCTCTATCTTAAAATTTAATAAATTTTTAACTTTACCCCTTATTAAATATACATACTTTAATAATATATTTTCTCTCTTTAAAATTCAATGGAGGGTAAAAAAAATTTTGTTATGAAAATTAATAACGTGACTTATAAATAAGATTTAAAAAAATCATTTTCTCTCTGTCCTATAAATAGGACCAAAGGGAGTATATATTTTACACTTGATTAATCATCTTGTAATTACAATGCAATTATTTCCTCAATGACTAATTCATATGCATAAGTGATAATCTATCTATATATAATATGAAAACCCTAACAATATTACCTGCATATTTGATTTTTCACAAGCACTCTCCAAAATCTATTTGCATTTGTAAGAAGCATCAATTTGTTGGAATTATGAGAAAAGGAGTAGGTAGGTAGATGTATGTAAGTGTTCGTACTTAATCCCTTTCTAAAAAATTTGTTGGATTTAATAATAGTAGTATATCCCAAGCATAGGTCAAATGAACTTCTGGAGGTTAGCCAAACGTGTACATTTATATAAGTTTCAAGTGTCAAATACAACGAATCAAAAGTAGCAGTTAAGAATTTGAATCCTCTCCATGTAACAATACACGCCCGTTAAAAGAATGCTTCATTTTTGGATCACATGCAATGTTTGAGACTCGCGCTAATCTTCAATTGGATCCGCGAGGTCCTTGACAATAAGCAGAGCGATGAACTCGTGAGGTTTCATATTAGTATTTTGTTAATTAGGGAATTTTTGATAATTTAAATGATTTTATACTTTACTTTGAATTTGATTAGTTGTAATCAGTTTGTTTTTTAAATCTGGATAATTACATTATGCTCTGAATTTGAAATTTGCATCTGGAGTTGTAATCTTGAGAAGGAGAAGGAAGAACGAGGAAGGAGGACACACCAAAAAAAAAAAAATAATTAACCGAAGACATTTCACTTCTATTTTTTGTTTTTATCCAATAATTATATTTCTTTCAAATACTCTCTGTAACATATCAAATTGATTCAGTGTGATCTACATTCTATTCTATCTAAGATCAAACACCATTGAACACATTAAAAACCTGGAGGACCCCTTATTTTACCTACTAACATTAAACACCATCCAATTCGGATTCAAAATATATGTAGTGAAGATGCTGAAATAGAAATTTGACACCATAGCATTCAGAAAAGCAATTAGAAGAAGTCCGTATACATTATTGAATTTAGAAGCAAGAACACAAGTACCATGTAGAAAACAGCATACAGTAGACCCAAGTCTAGAAGGTGAACCGCAAAACATGGTCACCATACTTGAGGATGCAGCTAGCTCGACACTTGCTGGTGGCCATCATCCCTCGGAATCATGGACACTCAAACCAACTTTTCAGCCAGACACATCTTTCATCACTTCTGCCTCGTGCTCGATATGTTTTTACCACTCTGTAAAAAACCTAGAGAAAAGAATGCAGACGAATGTTCAATGATCCACACAAACAGATTTTTCTTCATCATAGATCATTCCGATATGAAGAAACATTTCACATACACACCTCGCATCCTCCCCAGATTGAAGAATGGGCAGTATGTAACAAGCAGCAGCATAATTTTCCTCTTCTAGTGCCCTAGATAAATTCAAATGTTTAAAAAAATCAGCTTTTTAACGCAGCGAGGAATATGGCCCTGAGGCAACAGTTAACAATTTTCTAATTTCAAATAACAAAACAATTAATTGGAGGCAACATGGAAGAAAGAAAGCCAGACTCGAAATAAACAATTTTCTAATTCCAAAAAACGCTTAAGAAAGAAAACCAGACTCATGAGGCAACACGTAACTGAACAATTATTTCAAAGAACAAAAGAAATAGAGTATAGAACGAAAATTGGAAAATAAATCAAAATTCACAACTCACAAGAAAGTGCAATTGAAAGCTGACCTTCGGGTCTTGATGCCCTGGGCCACCTTGCACATTCCCCACGAGAAAGCACCAAACGCAGTGAGGAATATGTCCATGGCACTAAGATCTTTGCTCGAGATTCGGCGAGCGAATCGGACTAGGGGAGGACCGTCCTTCAGGCTTGCCTTGTTGATTCTCTTCCTTATAATTGTCTCCGTCATCTTCGATCCTTCCCCATGGTTTCAATGTGATTATGAAGCTACGGATTCTGAAAATAAGGAAGAGGAAATCGAGTATTGCAATTCGCCCAAAAGCGCGAGAGTTCACTCGTAGGAACTGCGTGCCGCCAAGATTGATTGATTTCCAGAATTTTCGTCCTTATTTTTTTGGAACAGAAATCATTATTAATAAAATAAATAAATATTTAATTATTTATATATACAATTTAAAAAAAAATTCAACAAGGCGAACTTTGAATGCTTCAGTTTATAAGATAATTCTTGGCAAAATTACGTATGTAAATAAAATTCTTTAAATAATGAATGTAATAAAAAAGGAAGGGTCATACTAAAATGATATATTCCCTCCATTTAAAAGTATAAAGTATTTTTTAAAGAATTGAATGTTTAAAAATATAAGACATTTTTAATCTTTTGAGATATAATTATTATCTCTTTTTAAAAGTTCTCCTATTGATAATAACTTTGTATTTATTATAGGATATTCAATAGAAATAAATATGAAAAAATTGGGTTAGTTTGAAAGTAGGTAACTATTTTATTGAGGGTGAGATTCAGTTAAAAATATCTTACATTTTTAAATGAAGAGAGTATTTAATAAAATTTTATTTTTATCAAATTATTTTCTATTTTAAGATACCCAATCACCTCTAAAATTATATTATAAATTGAAAGGAATATAATCATCCAATCCTATTTATAAAATATATTTTAAAAGTAATTTTTAGTCCAAAATACAAGACATCTTATAATAACTAAACCACTTTTTTTTTCATTTTTTCCCTTCTTGATTAATATAAAGGTATTTGATATAGTTGTATTATTATTTAAGACTAATGGTAAAAATAAAAGTACATATTATTTTTTTATAATATCAAAAAAAATAATTTTTTTAAAATATATAAAATGCTTAAAAGGATTTTATAATAAAAATCAGAGGGAGTGTCATTTATAATGTTTGGTCCAACACAATAGCCATATTTGTTATTAGTAGTGAATATATATCAATAATTAAATGTCTGAATCATGTGAGTATTTTGGCCTACAAATACTATACTCCCTAGCTCTATTTATAAGGCAAAAAAAAAAATTTAGTTCTATTTATAAATTTTTTCATTGAAAAATTATTAAATTTTTAAATAGAATTAATGGGTTTTAAATTTTTTCTTAATTTTGATTAAACATGTTAAAAGTATCTTATAAATAAGATTAAAGGAGTAGATATCATTTTTTTTTTGGCCAAAATGTATATTCCATATGAAACCTAGGAAACATTAAGCATTTTATTCCTATATCATCAGTTTATCATTAAATTTTTATTTTTATCTTTTTTACTAATCAACAAATTATATATGAACTAACCATCGCTTTGCCGAAATAAAATAAATAAACTTTATCCATGAAAAAGGAAAAATGGGCAAAAATGCATTATTACTCCTGAAGCATTTTTGCAAGAACTGTGAACACCCCAAAAAATTTGTAAAGCAATATAGACAGAATGTTTCAAAATCATTTTGTCAATGTTTCGTTGAAAAAACAAAAAAGGAAGGTCTTATAGCCTGTATTATTAATTAAAAAAGAAAGGAGGGTGACACAGAAGGGTTAAAAAAGAAAATTGCCAACTATATAACAATGACAACAAACGTTTATATTATTAGAAGAGATTGACTATATAAATTACGAAATATTAATATATTATATTATTTATTAAATATTTAAAAATATTATTAATTAAAAGATTGTGTTTAAAAATTTTAAATTATTATGGTCACTAAAATCCAATATTTCAAAGAATACAGGAACCAAAAATGCGAACCCATGAGACTTCATCAATCATGAGTCATCACCAACTGCAAAAGCACCACAAAATCCGAAAAGAAAACCCCCAACTTATCGGGAAACTCGTGAGAGCCCACCCTTTGCCTCATCCAAGGGGCTTTGAACGGTCGGTGGACAACAAGGCAAGGAATCCCACGACAACGTGGATGATTCTCCAATATTAAAACATCTCTGAGGATTTGGAACTGAGTCATGACCGGCATCTTCTAATAAGTCATTATAGGACAAGTTGAAGTGCCTATTTGGATATAAAAAATAATCGATTATTTTGGGCATAACTATGATTTGAGTAAAAAATTCCCAAACATCCCCATTTGCTCATAATCAATTATTAAACTCAAAACCAAGTTCTGGCTTAAGCTGGGGGAGCAGCTTTTGAATTTCAATTCTACTGTTATGTGTATTTATTATTTGTCAGTAATATCCACATACCAAAGACGTCCTTGAACATTATTATCCTTTAGTAATGCCACGCTCTTTGGTTTTCTTTTTCGTGTAAACATTTGTTTCTGTGAAATATATGGCCTCGTGTCTTATATAAACATGCGCAAATTTTCAGATTTTATTTATTTATTCAATGCTAGGTATTACTTGATCAAGGTATTTTTTATACAAGGATGGTCATTAACTAGAGTAGAAAAATAGATGTGTTAACTATGTATTCAATTTTACCGTCATATGAATTTATTATTTATTTTTTACATGAATCCAATTATTAATATTCCTCCAACCAATTCGACAATTTTTCTCTAGCAAATGTATGCACAGCTCATCCTCCTCTCATCTCTTACTTCTGTTTTGCCATCTCAAACTCTCATTTTTGAGCCTCCTGCAACAATATGAGGTATAAAAGATTATTCTATTTTAAATATTTTTTAAATATAATTTTTATAATTAATTATGTATATGAGTTAAATAATATATTTTACTTGTTAAATAAAGTTAAACAAATTTAATAACATTATATACAGCTTTATCAATATTTTAATTTTTAAAAGCAATAACATTCATTGTAATTTGTATATCTAAAATTGATTTTAACTAAATCATCCAAACATTCTCAATTTTGTTAAAATTAATTTCAAAAAAATAATATTTAAATATAATCATGTTATAACATAATCAATTATAATTAAAATCAATCATCTTAATCAATTTTTTATAATTAGTTATACCTAACTAAAAAATCCAAAGAGGCCCTTTAAAGTTTATATAGAGTTGAGGTGATTTGAAAGAGGGAGGGAGGACTTCTCAATTCACTTGTGTGTTTTGAAGTTTTGTTGGGATAAAGGCTCCAGAGCAGTGGAGATTCATGATTGTGTGGATGTGGTTAACATTCTTGCCAAAGACAAATTACTCTCACATCCTCTCCAAGATATTATCCGAGATGTTATGCTCTTCCTTCGTAAGGACTGCCATGTATTCCACCTTTATCGCCATTATCTGTCTTTAATCCAGAAAGTAATTTTCCAGCAATCAAGCCGCAAGAATGTAAGACCACAGCATCCTTCGCTCCTTACATCGTCAATACATTTCTTCCCAGACTGTTTGCCCTGTCAAGTGACAACCTATTGTATGCAAGACTAGTTGACTAGATCGTCAAATAACCTCGGCAAAGGGGTTTGCTTACCCTGCTTATATTGACGGCGAGATGACACCATAAACACAGTTCCAATTCAAATTCAAAATATATCCTGTGAAGGGTTCAGATTATTCACACCAAGTTTAAGGTTCAAATCCCCATGCCCACCATATACTCAAATAAAAATCGAACTGTCATGGCATTTTGAAAAGCAATTACATGAGTTCCAGATACATTATTGGATTTGGAAACAGGAACACAAGTACCATGTAGGAAACAGCATCCGATAAACCAACTCTAGATGGTGACGCGTTAAAACATTTTCACCATACTTCAGGACGCAGCTCCCCACTTGCTGGGGGCACCCATCTCCCAGAGTTATAGACACTTTCACCAACTTTCCAGCCAGGCACATCCTTCATTACTTCCGCTTCGTACTCAAGGTATTTTTTCCACTCCCTAACAAATCTGGGGAAATAAAGTAGACGCATGTTTAATGCCCAACACAACTAATTTTTCTTCATCATAGATCATCCTGATACGAAGAAACATTTCACATACCTCTCGTCCTCTTCAGCTTGGAGAACAGGTAGTATCGCACAGCGAGCTGCAAATTTTTCCTCTTTTAGAGCCCTGGAAATTAAAATGTTTAGATAAATCAGTTTTAAGAGGGAAAAAAACTTGAATCCGATGCTTCTGGCATCACAGTGACACACACACGCATGCATGCATATATGGACCATTATTTCTGCACAGCCCCTCCCCCTTTTGTCCAAAAATAACAGAAGAGAAACTCCTGACTCACGAGGCAAGGAAAAAGAACATGGTAAAATCACCCAGGAATTCAAAATGGGAAGCAAATAACAGCTCTCCAGAAATTCACTTAAAATTGCAAACGGGATTGATAGAATAATATCTAGTGCTAGGAAAGCAATGATCATATTCCAACCTACCACACTGCAAAACACCCCAACATTACATACCATTTCTAACACCAATGTCTTGACAGATTTTCTATTAACCCAACAGTCTAAGTAAAGCAACTTCACAAAATAATATTAATCCATATCTTATTGAAATAAATTAAAAAGATAAATGTGAATAAAAAATAGCATGCTTTATTACCCAACGGTCAAATACGCTTATGGCTTTGAGGGAACCAAACTATTAACCAAATATCTAGATGGTTCAATTCTTTGTGTGAATTGTTTCAGGCCAAAGAAAAAAAGCTGGGGTGATTGTGTTTTTATAAACCAGTTGCATTTTGAAACACAGGTCACTATATAAAGTTGCAACAGAAAATATTATAGGATTAGATGTTGCGGAGTATGGACACTTCAAGAAAGTTGTATCCATGTCTAACACATGTTGAACCTCAATTCCTCAAGGACTTCATTTCATACAAATACTGGTATGGTAAATTGGAAAGCAAACCAGTTTATCTCTACATCCATGTCTAACATATACTGAACCTCAATTCATCAAGGACTTTATTTCATACAAATACTGTTATAGTAAATTGGAAACCAAACCAGTTAATCTCTATATCTATAATCTATAACTAGAGGAAGAAAAAGAAGGCAGGGTTGACACCCTCAACCTCCCTGTTAATCATGTGGTAAATGCATGAATTAACGATTTTAGAGTGGAATGAAATAGAATAATGTAACACCTATAACTAAAGGGAACAGAATGCCTCATGCCAACATTCTTGTTTCTTAGATTAAATGTGCAACTTTCAAATTTAAAAGGAAAATTACATATATTTTGAGAAAACTTACAGTTCATCATATAGTACATATTTTTTACAGTCACAGCAACTTTATAAGAACTTGAGGTTTTTCTTTTAAAAGCACTCAACAATTTTTAAAAGTAAAGTGCTCCAGGAGAAGCATCCTAAAAATGTGCCTTTATTATTAGTAAAAAGATAGCCAACAGCCTAAACAACAGCATCCTCAAATAAATCTTAAGGAAGTTCTTAACTAAAAATAATTTTTCCAAACTAATAATGTCCTAAAAAATCCAAGCACTCTAAAGCTTATGAGGAAAACGAGTCAGCATATCTACAAAGCATTAAAGAGATGCCCAATTAGGAATATGCTAGAAGCCACAGCATACTCAAATAGATCTTAAGAAAGTTCATACTAACCATCAGAGCCTCATTCATATCCAACATCAGAATTAATATACCATAGTAGTGCTGTTCTGTAAAAGATTCAAAGTCTATGAATGAAGATAAGATTTCCATCGTTTCCATCTTCTATATTCATCTTTATTCATTTCATCCCAGATTCTAAATGGTTTCTACTCATTTCTGCTTATTTCTATAATATTATCTATGCATTACTATTGAACCAAAGCCAAAGTCTGTACATCAGAAGCAATATTGCAGAAAGATGCTACGTCCTTTTATGATCATCCTTTGTCTGTAATGAGTCTATGTTTTAGGGCATTTTCCATCAGATGTCTACTGTTCGCCATTTCTCTAACCTTCAAGCGGTTCACAGGCATATTTCACACTGTTAAAATTGATGAAAACCCATCCTTCCCATCTCCCAAATTCCATTTCAACGATAACTAGAAATTCCATAGAACAGAAGAAAGAGAATTCTCAATTGGCATATTCCATAAAATGCGATAAGACGCCCACGTTTGTATAATTCGCTTCCAGGGAGTGAACAGAAAGCATTTCTGCAACTGTAATTATATACGAACTCTAACATTAACGACTCCGTTCATTAAAAAAAAAAACAAACAAACAAACAAAAAAACCCTGCCATAAACAATCGCATATCGGCATATGTCAACAAAAATCACCAAAAGCCTAAAAAAGGTCGTCGCATTCCTCCCCAATTCCTCGCACCCAATTCATAGAACAACAAATACAAGAAATCGTCAAATCGAAAATTGGAATACAGATCAAAATTCACAGGAAGTGCGATGGAGAGCTGACCTTCGAACCTTGTTGCCCTGGCCGACCTGGTACATTCCCCAAGAGAACGCACCGAACGCGGTGAGGAAAATGGCCATGGCGCTGGGACCTTTGTTTGGGATTCGGCGAGCGAATCGGACCGGGGCGAATCCTCCGGGAGGAGGACCATCTTGAAGAACCGGCATGTCCTTCACGCTGGCCATGCCGGGCTTCTTCCTTATCGTTGCCTCCGTCATCTTCGATCCTTCGCGATGGTTTCACAGTGATTTCTGAAGCCTAAGGCAGGTGAGATCGAGTATGGCTGCAAATTACCCTAGAGGGCACACTGGCGCGGATTGTGTCCCGCACTCCCGCTGCGTCGTTCCCCAATTTTTCTTTTTCAAAAAAAAAAAAAAATCATACTATTACAAGAAGCTTAGAACCTGTTTGAAATTTTTTTTATTTTATTATTTTAAAATTTGATATTTTACATAATATATTTTGAGAATAAAAAAATATTAAAAAAAGTATTTTTTTTTATTTTTTAAAATAATAATCATAAAAAATCTAAAAATTGTTTTCATTTTTTTATTCTTTAGGACAATATTTTCTTCTCCAAAATATTTTTTGAAACCACATTACCAAACAGATTTTTTTATGTTCTTGTTTTGAGAAATAAAAAACTATTCTCAGAATAGATTTCCAAACAGACCATTACATTTTACACTGTAGCCTCGTATGGAAGAAAATTATGAGTAAGTTTTACAAACCAAACTTATTTATATATAAGTTTAGGAAAATTTAAATGTCAAACATTTTGCCCACCTAAATCTGAATGAATTAGACTCGACACATATGGTTTTGTTAACATTTAGAGGAATTATCAAAGATGATAAAGAAAATTGGATTAAGAATTTTTCAAATATCTAGAATATTAACCTAGCACAGCAGCATAACTAATGAGAACTTTTACAAGTCTTATAACCTTTGCTAGAATGTGAACTTGCCCAAAGTCAATGTCCACTCTGATTATTCTGATTCAATAGAGACATTATTACTCATTAAACGCTCTTATTCTAAGAGTCATCCATCATCGAATACTATCAAAAAAAATCAGAGAACTTATCAGGAGAGATTGGATAGTCACCTTTGATCACGTTTACAGAGAAGCAAATAAATGTGCTAACCTCTTAGCCCACCAATCAACTTTTGATACCTTCGATATCACATTTTTTATGTTCCTCCGTGTGACTATAATGACTTTATGACTTTAGATATGATTAGATCTTAGTCTCTTTATACGACTTTATCGTGGCTTTGTAATAAAAAAAATGTCAACCATTTCCTTTAAGACTTTAGTGTAATGTAAAATTAGAGTGTAAATATAATAACATTCCTATTAAAAATATATTATATTAATTAAATAATTTATAACTATTTCATCAATGATTTACAAATATCACTTTAATTTTTTACAACTATAACTCCACGCATTCAACAATTAAACTGATTATATGTTACAACTTTAACATTAATTATTTACAACTATCTCATCAGTAATTTACAACTATCATTTTAACATATTACTTCTCACATTTAATAGTTAAATCAATCATACATTGCTAATAAAGTTTAATATTGATTATTTACAACTACCTCATCGATGATTTAAAACTACTGTTTCAATATTTTATAACTATAATTTTACATATATAATAGTTAAATGAATTTATTAACAAATTTTAATACTAATTATTTATAATTGCTTCATTAATAATTTACAATTATTACTTCAAATTTTTTAAACTTGTAACTTTACATATCAATTAGTTAAACCACTAATGCATTACAAGTTTAATATTAATTATATACAACTATTGCATATATAATTTATAATTATTACTTTAATAGTTTACAGTTGTAACTTTATATATCTAACAGTTAAATCGATCGTACATTACTAACAAGTTTAACATGGAGTATTTACAACTATCTTATCAATAATTTATAATTGTAATTTCATAAATCTAATAGTTAAACTGATTACGAGTTTTCAATAATTATAGGATTGCGTAAACATTAGATACGAGATTGGTTTGTTATGAGCAATTAGTATAAACTTTATTGTAACATATAGTCAGTTTAACTATTAAATATGTAAAGTTATAATTATAAAATTTTGAAATGATAGTTTTAAATCACTAATAAAGTAGTTGTGAATAGTTAGTATAAAATTTTATTAGTAATGCATGATCGGTTTAACCATTGGACATGTGAAATTATAGTTGTAAAATGTTAGAGTGATATTGAAAATTACTAATGAGGTAGTTGGATACAATTTAATATTAAACTTATAACATATGATTAGTTTAACTATTGGTTGCACGAAATTACAGTTGTAAAAAGTTGAAGTAATAATTGTAAATTATTGATAAAATAGTTGTAAATTATTTGATTGATATAATATATTTTTAATAGAGGCATTGTGAACTCTAGGTTAGATGAGTAAAGTCATCCTTAAATAATCCTCCTCCAATCTTCAAAACATCAATGCAATAAATAAATTTTAACAAATTACAAATGAGATCCCAAGTTCTTTAATATCTAAAATACTCCAATACATTTTCTATTTTTCCAAATTAGAATTTAAAATATGAGGGAAAGCCTAAGAATTGAAGAAAATCAAAACATTTGAATATAATCTTTCAAAACAGTGAACTGTGCAGAAAACAACACATGCGCAGCGGGTTATCACTATTGTGCTACGGCGTGTTGCTTTTGTGCCATGTGCCATCGTGCATTGTGTGAATTTGACAACACATTTTGCTGTCATTTGATAGCACTCGAAATGAGCTTTTAACACATCTCATTTCTCCATCCGACATTCAATTGAGGTGATTTAGATGTTTATAAAGAGTTTTCTCCTAACTTTAGCTAATGGTACAAGTTTAACAACCAAATTATTTTTATACGAAAGGTTGGACACACAATACCAAACTCACTCTTTTTTTACATTAACTCACATCTAGGATGTCCAAATCTCAATAAATGCGCCAAAAGCCTATACCAATCTTTAGATCATACTTAATGGATCATTCAGAACCCACGCAACACACCACAATCAACCAAATACACATACATGATAAATTCAACGCTTAACCCTTTAATTTAGAACCCATGTAACTTTGCATTAATCATCAATATTCATCCAAAATAATTAAAATACACTTTACTCTACTTGTATTAGCATTTTGGCCTTATTTAAGCTTTACAACTACATTAGCCCTATCTCCGGATATGAAATACACAAAACACTTTCAGTAATGCAAGTAGACAAAATAATGGAATGAAATCCTAGTTAGCAAATTAACCATCAAAATACACATATAAATAAATCAAGAGGCCTAAATATGATTTATTCAAAATCTTATACCTTGGGTTATTTTCCCCGATCTTGATCTGATGAACTAAACCTTGAAAATATTAAAGAATGAAGGATCAGTATAACCACTCAGTAACCAAAATTAACTTAGTCTATACAGTTGCATATCAATTCAAAATGGATGCAAATGGCAATAATTTCAAATATCATACACATATAGCAAATATAGCTTTAGCCACAACAATAACAACTATGTAACTAGGCATGCAACTCATTCAATTAAATATTACAATTATCCACATCTTGAGGTTGCAAAAATAACAATCATGAGCCCTTAAAACATGCTAGACTATAATAATAACAACTATGTGGCGGGAGTTATAAATATGCATAATCAATGCTAGCCTTCCACTCTCCTGTTACCTCCGACATGAAACAGGTGGCTATTTATGGCTATGTCCATAACTCAAACTAACCCAACCTTCTACTTTTAACGAGCTACCCAATTAGGGTTAACTTTCTCACTCGTGTACCCCAGTTTCCTCTAATACTAATAATCATAGAGTGTCGTACCCTTAGTTTAGCCCTCTTATGAACTAGTAGAAACTAGTTAGATTTGAGTCCCTCAAAGAACAAGTGAGACAGTCTCGAATCAATCAAAAGACAAAGGCTACCTCCTGATTCTAATGGTCGATGCTAAGGCAAACTTTCAATTCCAACAATAAGCCACTAATATCACATAGATTTCCCAAACTATTCCTTTTCCTGGGCAAAACTCCCACCAATGATCATGCCCATGCACATTAAACACTTAATGTCATTTTAGCACAATTAATCATATCACATCATATTCACAAATTTTTTCCTTCATTATACTCCACATGCCAATTGATAAGTGAATATTTTATAACTAAATAGGTATAGATTTTGATTTGAATTTGATTATATTTATTTAGATTTTATTTCTATTTAATTAATATTTATATACTTTCCTCTCGTCACTTAATTATAAGATAAAAAAATTTTGACACAAAATCTACTCATATCTTTCCTTTTTATATTTTGCAAGAAAATAATAGATTAAATAAAGCAAGAAAATGAAAAGAAAATAATATATATACACACATGGAGAGAGAGAGAGAGAGAGGAACAATGCTACAAAATCTCACTCACGTCTAATTCAAGAAAGCACAATATCACGTGTATCTATGTGGAGAAAGAGGCAATCACGCATTTTGAAAGAGGATTTTATGGGAAAAAGGTTAGAGAAATATATACATACACACACACACACACACACACACACACACACACACACACACACATATATTAGAGTTTTACATTGATTGGGAAAAAAAAGAATGAGCCTTTACTTTAACTATAAATACTCTCTCCATCAAGAGAAAAGTTATCCAATCACTTATTTGAGTGTCTCAAAAATTATTCCTGAGATATTTAGAACTCATATAAGCATTTTGAAGGATGAAAGCAAGATTATTGAGGAGTTCTACAAATTATAATTATTTTTTTTTACTCCTTAATTTTCTCCATGATCATTTTTCATTATTGAAAATTTTAGAACGGTTTTATTTGATTTTATTATGTGTTTTAAATTATCCAATTGGAGTAGGGATGTAACCTAATTGGAGAGCTAGTTTTTTATTTTATTTGTTTTGACTCTTTGCATTTATATTTATAAATATTTTTGCTTTTTTAAATTATATTTATTTCTCTTATTCTTTATATTGATTTAATGACTTGGCACCATTTAATTGAATTTATAGGTAATTTTGATGGACCAGAAGGTGAAAAGTGAACCTAAATCTAGAGAAATAAATATAAATAACTATGATAGGAATAGTTCTAAAAATTTATAGTGATTTAAACTATAGCTTCACAGTTTAATTAGTTGCTTGAGTATTGTGAGAATGAATTCAATGCTAATTAAAAAGGGACTAATAATTTGAGAGAATATTAGGATATTTTAAGAATAGTTGTTACTATAAT